GTCTGTAGACCATCAAAAGTTTTCAAGATTTCGAGTTGTAAAGTTTCATGATTTGTTACCAATAATGCAAAATATTTTTTACAATCCAGCGATTGTAACGAACCACAAATAATACGTAAAACATATTAGATACACGCAATCTGTCAAGGGATAATAGAAATGTGGTGTTTATAACAATGCAATAATTATCCTAGCAACCAGCAAAGGCAACTTGATTGATTTGACCTTTTTTTTATTACGGACGTAGCAACGAATATATGCAGTCATTTCCTAAATAATAAAAGTAGACATTTATTTTACTATAATGTTACGTGGTAAGGTATATATTTGTTATGACCCGCCAGTACTCAGATAATTCCTTGTTGGTAAAATAACCAATAAAATAACCTGATCGTAAAAAATGAGATAGGTAGTAGTTTTAGGTTTTCCTACCCCCTGTTGGCGCCAATCCTTACCGCGAACACATCTATTTTTAACTATGACGGTTATAGTAATAAAAGGCATTGTTGATAAATTTAGGATGGTTCGATTTAAACAGCTAGGACTCGCTTGTTCGTATATTAATACGAGGGCTACCTTTTATATTTCGAGATTTGTAATAAAAAAACTGTAAGCTACCAAAAAATATAACTTTATTGTTTCTCAAATTATTCATCCTGATGACCAATACACTTTTGCATTCGATAAAACCAATCATCAAAGCACTTTTCCCACATCGATTCGGGCACCTCCAAAATATGCTTTTTAGGCGCATCAATCGCTTCTTCTGATGTCAAAAATCGTTGACCACGTTATATGTATTGGAATAAAAATAAGTCATTAGGTGCTAAATCAGGACCATATTGTGGATGGCTCATCAAATCAACATTTTTAATGCTCAAAAAGTTCTTTGTTTGCACTAATAGGTTAGTGATAGCATTGTCGTCGTGGAGAGTGATTCTTTTTCGGCGGTTGGTGTTTCTAATTTCGTCAAAGACTTTCGGCCAACAAATGGTTGTGTAGCATTCAGAATTGACTGATCAAAGAAACAGTTGCAACGTGGCCAGTTTTGGTTAGTTAGTTGGAAAAAACAGGCTACCATTTGTTTCGAGGTGCTTCGCTCACGAACAATTTTTGTGGGCTTTGTCTCATTCTGAAAGACCCACACAGTCGACTGCTGCTTACTTTCAAGTTCATATGCATAGATCCGTGATTCATCACTTCTGATGATATCATAGACGTGTTTGGAAGCACCGCAATCCTATTTTTTTCAGCATTTCCGTCGACCAGTCAACACAAGCCTTTTTTTGAGCTAATGTCAAATTGTGTGGAATCCAAGGCGAACAAATGTTTTTAGCGGACAAATGTTCATGCAAAATTGTATGTATACTCGACCCACTAATGCCCAAAGATACCTCAATCTCATTGTAAGTCACATCACGATCCTGCAAAATCAGTTTCCGTACTGCATCAATATTTTCTTGGACAACCATCGACTTTGGACGACCTTCACGAAATTCGAAAACCAGCGATAAATGGTAGTCCTAGATGGTGCTTTAACTCCAAAAGTCGAATTAAGTTCATCGATGCATTGTTGAGTTAGTCCGCGTCTAAATTTGTAAAAAATTATTGCACCAGATTGCTCCCGGTTAAGTTCCATTTTTAACCGTCACAATTTTTTTAATTTATCACAAAAAACACGAAGAACACTCTTTCGCCAAAACCTCTGAGTAAACCTAACTCAAAATGTCAAACTTCCCTATAAAAACTCCCGCAATATAAAAAGCCGCCCTCGTAGTTTTCCTTAAACAAAATAAATACATTAAAAAAAAGGTACGGCAAAAAAATGCATACTGTTTATCGTAAAACCGAATTAACCCAGTTCACAAACTGTTTTACACCGAGCGGTAATTCATTTATCAATAATAACACCTCCGAACGCATTCGTGCGCTGTTCGAGACTGCAATATCCGATCCTATATTTACCGGTAAATACGTTTTAACTTCGTTTAAACATCACGGTATCAAACCGGCCTAACACTTTATAAAGTGCAAATTTTCTCCATTGGAGTTAGAATTTATTTTGGAAGTATTTAGGTCGGTGTTTAGTTTTGATGTCTATGTCGAATTTGAGGCATTGAGTCAGTGGCTTATTGTTTTGTCGTTGATTAATTTTATTTTAAGTTAAAAATTATAATTATGGTTGACTTGAAAAAAAAAAAACTCAAAGTGTTCTTGAATAACAATGTCAGACAGTAACGCCATATATGAATGACAATAAATGCAGAACAAGCAATTCTTGATAGATTTGCGTCCAAGATAATTAACTATAATTAATGACAAGGCGCGGGACAAAATTGGATGCAGCAGTCTGGATGTTCGGTTTAAGCCATTTCTAAACGCTTGTTTATGTCTTGCGTTGAACAAAGAGGTATTTTCAGGTAAACAGCGTATTGAATCGATTTTTATATCGAGAATGTAATTGTACCACGTTTATTCTGTATTCAGGACTGACTAGATAAGCAATAAAAGGGTAAATTACTTAAAAACTTGCATCGATTGTTATAGGTGTAAGTGGTAAAGAGCAAATAGCAGAATTAGATAGGCATAAACAGGATTTAAAAAATCGGAGAATAATTTGTTTACATTTCATCAAATAGCGAAGAGCTTAGAAAAGCCTCTACATAATTAATTTTCGCCTTACTAAACCCTTAGCAATGCAGTTGATCATATTAAGCAGATATAGACTTGTTTTTTTTTAATATTTGCTATTTTTTCCCAACAAGCTGGCGACGTAGCACTGAATCACGGTGTTAAATTGATATTTCTGGGAGTAATCCGAATATATAAATTTTGGGCTAACTGTTTCCTAATTCTAGGAATTGTTTTCGTATGTTCGAGACCGAAATTGTGTCATTTCTCTGGGGAATATTCACTTGAAGCGGTAGAGCTGCGTTTTTGAGTCTTATTTGTGCACTTATTAAAATCACAATACTCCTTCATTTGTCAAAAAACTGTTAGTTTAGAGATTTAAAAAAATATTTTTAGAATTAATTACTTGGCGAAGCCAAATATGGCTTAGTAAATACTTTCTTACGCTTTTATCTAACGTTCAATATTTTAATTTTAACAATATAGTAAAGGTACCTCGACGTTTTGCTATAGCAAGATATCTCCTTTTTTGTTATAAAAAGAGATAGTCTGAACTCCCATACAGCAAATTTGCAAAATTTCAGTTTTCGGAAGGGGAAAATGTAATGGAACTCCGTGTTATATTTTTTCCAAAATACTTATCGCATATAACGAGGTCTAATTTCTAAAAAAAAAAACAATTGAGGCACCTAGAAATGGAAGTATGGATTTGAGAAGGCATCGTCAGACAAAAAATTTTCCAGAATTATGATGCGGTGTAAATTTGATGTAACTTATCGGCAAAGCAACAAAATCTTTTCTCGAGTGAGCAACAGGAGATCCATTATAATGCGACTCCACCTGTTGCCGACTGTGTATACGGTTAGAGATGGGGGGTCCAAACGGTAGGCGGCGGAGGCATCTCGCCCGCTCTAGTTCGTTATTTGGGCAATTTTCGTTAGGAAGGACGAGAAGTAGAGAACTTGATTACTACGTCTTTTGTGCTTTATGGCGGAAATTGAGTGAATCCGGCGTATGGAGAGATTATACGAAGTTCTAGTTTTAATTGGACAAACGTGTAGGTCAAGAACGATCGTTATTGGACCTGTGTCATAAGAAGCAATTTTTGAGGGTCTGAAGAGGCAAAAATAATTATTTTTATGCAAAGACGACTATGACTATAACATTTTAAAAGTAGTTTCAGTTATAGAAGATGTTCCATAAAAGCGTGGAAATAAAAAATCAGTCGAATAAGCAGATAACTTTTTTATTATCATCCTCATCACCCCAAATAATAAAATTTAAAGTTCAACACCCTGCTGTAATTCGCTTTTATTGAATGAATGTGAAATATCTATAGAAACAAAAATGTATATTGCTCAATGTCGTTACACATCCTAAACAATCCAAGTGAGAAGCCAACTTCATATATAGAAATTGTGCAACTGTAAAATCAAGGTGTGTGTATGTCTGTGCTTCACGGCTTATTCATTTTGTTTTACTAAAACTTCTAATATAAAATAGAACTGTATGAATAACTTTACATTGACTAGCTCTCCTTATATAAGATACATAAATATGTTCTTAATTTATGTCTATTGATAGGTTACTCCTTCAATTACGGAAACAACGATCTTAATCATGTTATTTGATGTCAATTATTCAAGACGGATAATCTCATATGCAATAAACGAGTGTCTAATTTCATTATTGCGGTGCTATATTTTTTTATTCTATATCAAGTAAGTATGAGATTATGAGCTAAGCGAGTGAATGCGATAGAGATAAAGAAAAAGCAATGTCGATGATGGTGAAAAACAACTGAAACGTTGAAGTTTTTTTTAAAATATTTAAAAAATAAAGTAACAACATTCTCCTAAACTTAACTTAAACCAGATGAATAAATATTAAATAACAAATAAATGTCAGTAAAATACAATAACAAAATGAAAGTGAATAAAATTTAATATTTACGTTCGTAAGTGGGAAAAAAGTCATTTAGAATTTTATGTAAAAATCGTATTAATTCGATTATTTATATTTAAAAAATACATACATCATGTTATCTTTTTTATCGAATCAGAAAAAGATAGTTTGAAATTCGTCATGTTGGCAACAAAATTGATACTAGGAAAGCTGAAATTTTTTTTTAGATATTATATTTAGGTATCTAAAAAACAAGCTTTCTCTAATATATTTGTTTTTCTAAAGTCTAACAGTTTCATTTATAGAATCAAGGGGTCTATTTTAAATCTAAATCTTGCAAAAAACACATTCACAATAAACAAGACAAGTGAAATTTGTTATGTAGTGTTATTTTACTGCAAATAGGTACTTTTCTATTTCTCAGTATTATTTTTGGAAGCCCCTAAATTGTAACTTTGTTTCAGGTAACCCACCACCCCAATTCAAGTGGCTTAAAGATGGTATGCCCATCACCGAGTTCTCCACCGATCCATTCTATAAGATCATCTCAGCGAAACACGAAGATGGTGGAAGCTATCGATGCATAGCAGCGAATAAGATCGGCTCGATATTAAGCGAAGAAATCAAAATTATTGTAGCATGTGAGTAAATACTAACATGATTTTTGCTATATTGGGTTCATTTTTAAACACCAGTATTGATCCTATTGAAGCGTTGACCAAATGTTTTAAGCTGCACCAATTTTGATTTATTTTCAGATATGGGCGTCTTCAAAGACCAAACCGAAAGAACGATGTCAGTAAAAGAGGGCGAAACGGCAATTATCGATCTTCCAGAAATCGATTCGGTGCCACCACCTGATGTGACGTGGCAAACCGATGAAGGCGTATTACCGTACGCCCAGAAGTATGCTCGATCAAAAACGAACCAGCTCATTATTTTGGCAACTGACAAATTTGATCAGAAGTCGTATAGGTAAGACATGATGAATAAATATGAAATTTGCCATATACAGCCCGAACAAATTCAAATCAGGAGTATAGAACTTCCGGTATTTTTTGCCGATTAAATTGGTTGTAACCAGCAATTAAAAATCGCATTTCCCATTAATTTGAAAAATGTTTCTTTATGTAGTAGCCTGCATATTTATCCACCAATCGATTGGGGTGTCCTTTTATGAATGTTTTTGTTAAACCAAAAATTATTAAGTGTTATAGTCTGAGAAAATAAACTTTTAATATGATCGGAGAAGCTTGTCTCTTTCTAGTAATTTTGTTATTACAAAAGTTTTTTTTTAAGATGCGTACTTACACTAAGATCAATATAATTCAAAAAAATATAGTCGTCACTGAAAAAGACGTTACAAATACTAGAAATGTCAAGGCAAAAGTTTCCGTTGGTCCGAACCATATAGCCACTAAAGATATCGATTGGCATCGACATTCCCGGTCGATGCCAATAATGCAGGAACTTATGAAGCAACTTTAAAAAAAAAATCGAGAAGGTCCATTGGGCATTCGTTTTTAACCAATGACTTTGCGGCATTTAACAACCAATTTGACCGCTGACACATGGTCAATAAGATGCGGTATTTTTAGGGCAGTATTTTGTCGAAGTATGCCTAAACTTCGTTAAATGTTAAATGGGAAAATGAGTTCAGTGTGTGGAAATGGTTCTGGTGGAGGCATTCTCGGAAAATCTTTGCTACGCAGGCTGATAGCAATATAGTCCAAACTATATGTTAATATTTGGTTTTTGTCTATTGGAATTTTGTCTAATTTATCACGAAATATAAGATAAAAAATGCAAAATAACGTAAAATGCTTCGTATTCACTGATATATATCTGTCTATATCTATATCTACAGGATGGCTCAATAGTATTGTAAAGTACTACCTCCCTTGTTTATAAGTGTTTTGATAATTTTTTTTAATTATTATACCGGGTTCTTCATAATTTTTTATTGGAAATCCCTTGATATATTTGCAAGTTACGATTCCAAGGAATATTTATATGGTGTGGTAATATTTTTGAATTTTTGTGACTTTCCAACTTATAGGGCACAAATAAAAATTGTGAAGATACAAGTTGTTCCAATGATCTTCTATATCTTGCAATATAATTATAATAAATATGTACGCTGATACAGTAAAATACATACAACTAATCGGTGTCTAAGATGGTATTTGCAAAAAAAAAATATTCTTTATCCAATTAAAACTCTATATTAATTTAATATTAATATACCTAGACCGCAGGCTTAATTCGTACATAATTGGGTATTTTAGAGTGGGGAGAAGAAAACTACATATTTCGAGAATAACTATGCAACGTGGTGATAGCCGTAGTGTTATACAAACAGTCTATTTTTGATTACAAAAATTCCTAATATTTATTATTTCAAATGTTTAATAAAACAGTAGTAAAGTCAGCGCCGTAGAGTGCAGAAACATCGTAAATTTTAAAGAAAGTCGCTTTAATGTTCTTTTATTTCAAGGCGGTATAAAGTTTGCCACTAAATTTTAAAAATGGCGAAACGAATGGACCAATAACTTGAAAAACCCGCCTACCTTGATCTCACAGTTTTGAAAATGTAATGAACATGTGCTTGCTACGGAAGAAAAGAAACTTTTTAGAATTGTTATACGGCGGTATTAGGTGATGACCTGTATTTTGAAAATATTGTGACAGTAGTCAATGTGATTTTGAATAGCGAATAAAACTAATATGGCTGACTTTCAAATCGTAATCTATCCACATGTAACGTATGTGCCGGGGTACTACTGACAAAATTACTAAACTACTAAACTTGCGGTATTGGGGAGCAAAAAACTCAACGCTTCACTTGAATCACGCGAAACTTGTACTTGTCAGTTAAACACTTTTTGTATGTCAGACAATTCTTGGGCTTCTCCTTGTTACAAAATTCGAATACCGTGATTTGTTCGCATCAGACGAACTGAATGGATAAAAACCATTATTTGCCTTACTTTAAATGAGATAAAGCACACGTAGACAAAAATCCGCCGACAATGCACTTTCTTTTACTTTCTTATATTAAAAAAAGAGTTAAGCCTTGCAAAGCTGTACCGGGTGGCCAATTAAGGACACTCGGCGCTCTATTTCGAAAAGTGTCGTGAAATTGGGGTGAAAAAATTTATGACTAAAGCGGCAAAGAGAAAATTCCGGAAATCGCATTATTTCATTTTAGATCCCGTTTTTTGAGAAATAATCTTATTTTACAGATAGCTGAATTGGACAATGCAAAGCTAAAATTAAATGATTTATTCTACTCCCGTCGGTAAAATACCTAATTACACACCGATCTAGCGTGCGGGGAGGGTCATTTTACCACGTCAGTTTCGTTTCCCACGAATCCGAACCACTTCGGACATTTCATGTCAGACATGTCAGTGAATGTATTCGTGTTGTTTTGTGAAAATATACCCAAAAACTAACAGTCGTAGAAAAGGTATAGTATGCAACACGTTCGCTCCGCTCGTACCAAATAAACTCGTTAGTCAAATCTCGTTTACCCCGCTTGTTGCATAATATACTATTTACTCTATCTTTTAACATTGTCGGAAATAAATATCAATAAGATCAGAATTTCATTGCTTGTACCTCCGCTAGACATCACTGCAATCAAAATTTATTTATTTTTTATTTATCGGAACAAAAGATCGCCAAATAAGAGTTTAACACGCTAGATGGGTAGACCTTAATTTGCGCTAAATAATAACACCAAAATTGCGATCAAAATCTCAACAATTACAAACAGTAATAACGCTATAGGAAAATTAAATTTTCTGACATTCCAAGATACCACAGGAAACCAAATGCAATAAAACTTTTATTAAGACAGCTCCTTGGAAAATACCAAATGAAAAATTTATCAAATTCATCACCCATCACCAAATCATCAAATTTTTGGCACCCTATATAAACCGCTACATTTATTACAATTGGGAAATAAAATATGAGTTATTGAATTTCGTAAGTTTAATCCGTATAAGGTATATATAGGTATACTTATCATAAACCTTATTGAAAATAAATGTTAATTTTAGTGGTTTAATCCGAAAGTGTTATAATATACAGGGAGTAATAATAAATAACTTCAAAAGTAAAACTTCTTGAAAACTTGTATTTTTCGCAATATAAATTCTGTGTAATAGAAATATTAGTGCTGACCAGATCAACTCTACAATTTTTTAATGATTTTAGTAGAAATGTCATAAAAACAACTAGAATATTTTGGTTTGAATTTTTTGCTTACCATGTAAGTGGGCGGGGTACGTACATTCGATCTTCGATATATTTTTTTTGTTAGCTTGGTATGCATATCCTTGACATATGTTCACAGTATCAGCCAGTTTTGCACGTTTACTTTTTATTTGTGAGACAGAAGCGTTAGACTTGTTTTCTGTGCTCGGCTGGTGTAAAAAATTAAGTACAGTGCAGCAAAACACTTAAAATGTTGATAACGGCATATGGTGAATCTACTTTGAGCAAAAAAAATGGTTATAAGTGGTACAAGCTGTTCCAAGATGGCCGAGAAGACGTCGATGACGAACGTCGCTCTGGACGCCCCAGCACGTCAATAGCTGATGAAAGCGTTGAAGAAGCAAAATAAGTGGTGTTGAAAAATCGTCGAGTCACTATTAGAGAAGTGGTTGAAGACGTCAGCGTCTCTATTGGCTTGTGCCATGCAATTTTTTCCGAAGTTTTGTAACAACAAAATTAGTTCGAAAACTGCTTAATTTTAAACAAAAGTACCGTCGAAGGAGCATCAATGATGATTCTCAAAAAGGTCATAACTGGTGACGAATCGTGAGGTTATGATGTCCAAACCAAAGCCCAGTCGTCCCAGTCGAAAAATCGCCAAGGCCGAAAAAAACACGTCAATTTCGATCAAATGCCAAGGTTTTGCTTACAGTTTTCATTGAATATCGTGGCGTAGTCCATCAAGAATTCTTATACGAAGAAAACGCGGAAGATCTCAAGGTTATACCAGAAAGTGCTTAGCAGAAGTGCTTCGAGGATTGAAAAAAACGTTGGCACAAGTGTATTATATCTTTGAGGGGGGGGGGGGGGTTACTTTGAAGGGGACAACATTAATTTTGATAAATAAATAAATGCTTTTTGATAAATTCTTAAAACTTATCTTACTTTTTGACCACACTTCGTATATAGTTTTTTTATTCATGAACGAAATAAATTAAAAGCTGAATTAGATTTATATAATAATATTTCAACGAAAAGTGTTTTTTTCAGGGCTCGCGCAATAAACACCCAAGAAGGTAAAGAGGAGAACAGCGCTTACGTAAGACTGACCGTAGAACAATCGAACGAGAATAATAACGACGCCCCAACAATCGTCATTCCCCCGGAAGACCTCGAAATCGTGAAAGGCTTGCCCCAAACCACCCTTGATTGTATCGCGAATGCGCGACCCCTCCACGAATTAGACACCTTGTGGTTCAAAGATGGTATCCCAATCGAGAGTGCGGGTATCTCTTACTCTCTAAACGACATTTGGAACCGCAGCCTCACTCTGATCTCGATCAACACCACCCACAGTGGCCAGTACGAGTGCAACGTCAATTTGAAATCGGGTGGTTTCGCAATGGTCAGGGCATCCGCGCAGGTTGTGGTACTCGAAAAACCGCGGTTCTTTAGCAACACCCGACCAGAAACGTTGGGCGATTACGGTTCTCAGTTGAGCCTTCCGTGTGACGTTATCGGCATACCAAAGCCGAATGTTACTTGGTACAGAAACACCGAAACGCTCGACTTGTCCGACAAAAGGTGCGTATCATTTGAACAAAAAAAAATACCCCCAGGAGGCTTAATTACCATCTTTATTTTAAAAACCCGGTTTCTGCAAAACTTTCTTATAATACCCGTAGAGTGAGTGCACCGTTTTAAATGAAAACCAAATTCAATGATGTTTGTTTAATGCTTTCCGAAAGGGTGTTCCAAAGTGTTTGGAAATAAATTTGATTTAAACTCTCTTAATGGAACTTTTCCTAAGGAATTGTGGTATGAGCAAAGCAATTGCTCAAACGATGAAGTTTTGTAACATAATCGCAAAAAACAAATTTTCCGAAAAAAAAACATGCAACTATAGCTAAATAAGATACCAATAATCCAGTGAATGCCGCATATATAAATACAGGAAGTGAGATTTTTTTTTATTTTCAAAAACATTTGTTATTAATGTCTGATATACCAGATAAAACGCTAATTTATTAGTTTGGATGCCAAATGATATTGAAAATCGAAAAAAAATCGTTATTTAACTTTATTACTTTTTACTAATTTCGCAGGTACGTTGTTGAAGAAGATAATTCACTTCTAATAAAAAAGTTGCTGATAGCGGATAACGGGATGTATCAGTGCTTCGCGAGGAACCAGGCGGGAGAAAGTTCACTATCTACATGGTTGCGTGTAAAGAGTAAGTAAATGTTCTCATCTTCCTCGTTGACGTTATCTGCAGTTTTTATGAGAAACCTATCTCACTTGAATTTAGAATTTTTAGTGTAATAAATTAGTTCTGGTTAATGCGAACAGAAATTATTTTTTTTTATCATATGATATAATGGGGTCGAACATGTGAAGCATAAATATCATGCTTAAAGAAAATATTAGAATACTAAAATACTAAGTTAAATTTATTTATCACTATAATTATTCGGTACAATAGCTATCACAAGATCTAAGAAATAAGAAAATGAGACCGACCATACCGATCATCTTTAAGCAAGTTCCTTAGGGGACAATCTTGCATAAAACGATTAATATCAAATCGTTTTTTAATAAACTTGGAGTTGCCCGAAAGTTATAAGAGTTGTAAATTGAGGAAATTTTCTAATAACCTTCATTTCATATTATTCGGTTAATTTTGTGTTTAAGAAATAGTTCTGATACTTTTAATGCATGCTGCAAAATGTTTTCTTCAGAATTCAGAAATGTGCGAAGCATAGCAGCGAAACTGATAAGGCTGAGAAGCTCTGGTGAGCGTCGCGGCAAACAGCATTTCGTATTTATGTCGCCATGTAAGAACGAAATGAGCATACTTTTATGTTTTTATGCAATTTGAGCACCTATTTTGCACATGTAGGTTAGACTGTGTTTTGAACATTCCGTTTTTGTAGCACACCTAGATCGCATTTTTTGAAATTGGATTTCTTAGTTATCAGTTCATTATTATTTAAAATTTGATCTATTAATTTTGTGTCTTACCAATTGGATAATCAAATGTCGACTTGACGGGGAAAACGTAGTACACTCTTAGACTGTTGCATGCAAAGTGACCGTCTTTCTTATTTATTATTAATTTTAACGAGTCCCTTTGTTTTTATTATCTATGTCGTGCTTGTTTTGGATTACTTACAGGAAATTGGTTGTAATATGCTATCGATGTTTATTTCAACATATAGTTGTTGTTTGTTACAGTGATTGGGGGGAGTTATTTTCCTTTTGCCAATAAGCCCGAAACTAGGTTTTTCATTCATTCATTCATTATTTTCAAAATTCGTAGCAAAAATTTGTGTCTAAAATTTATACATTATACAAGACAATTTTCGATTCTTAAGTTTCTAAAACTATAATTAACGCCAATGGATAAACAAAAAAATCGTTTAAATGGTGCACAAAGTTACATTACAGAATTACATATTTCCGGAAACACTTCCTATTGGTTAATTGATTTGTTGTTTTTTAGCAGGGTTTACTTTTTCGATGAAAAATTTGATATCTGCAGCTCATTGCTAATGTGGCAACAATGGCGTAATAATTTCTTAAATCCTCGAGGAAAACAAATTAGGTACTAAGAAAAATTGCAAAGTTAAAATCTATTAACATTTTATATGATATGCGTATTAAATCAACAGATGTAACTGAAAAAATTCAGTACACAAGCTTTATGCACGTCTTTTTAAATTAACAGTAAAAGCAGAAAAAGAACCCACTATCCACTAACGTATAGTGTGCCGTTAGTGTTTATTTTATTAATTTTTTTTAAGAATAACAAAAAGAAAAGAAAAAAAAACTTCAAGGAAATCACGCAAGAGGTGCTAAAAATGTTTTTCCTCCCCTGCAACACATTTTTGCTGTGTGAGAAATGCGGACAATCGATCTTATTGTAAATTCAAAACCGTGCGGGTCTTACGATATATCAACAAATTTTTACGTTTGTTTGAAGCGTTTTTAAAAAAAGTTATTTACAACTCCAAGTTGTGAGACAATTTTAAGTAGCAATATGAATGATAGAAAGCAATTTTCTGTTTTTTTTTTGGAATCGTTTGAAAGACTGGGCAGAAAAATTTTCTTCAAAAGAAAACACAATATAATACTGAAGAACACTAAAAAGTGTAAACGAAGAAAGCCAAACCCTGAAGATGTGAAAATGGAAGTTCGGAATGTAATTTATGCGTTATATAAATCAAAACGCACACTGTAATATAATATTTTTAAAAATTATGTTGTGTCTATCATAACACTATTTAAAGAAATAAAACTATTTTGCTTTTCTTTGGGTATTCTTGTAATCGCAAATATTCTGGGCCCGCAGGGTAAGGCTCGATTTTGTTATAATAAATATAAAAAAAAACTTAACTTTTTTTTAAGTGTATTAGTCCATTTGTGATTTGTTTGATGCATGGAATTCACTTAACATTTGCCGCTTTGTATAACGTATGTGTTCTGAATGGTGTTATTACAGCTGCACAGCCGGTGATGGAATTCGGCCCCAAAAATCTGACTGTTCTCGACGGAAAGGACGCTACCCTGACTTGTCGAGCAGCCGGAGCACCCGTTCCGAATATTACTTGGATTTTTAATGGTAAATACTGATAAATATGTTCAAAACATTCATTTGAATACTTCCTATATATAAGTCATTCCTAGCACACCTTTGAGTAATTCTTGCTTTTATTCGTCGACTTGTGCATTTTCGCCAGTTATCTAGAATTTCGTTTCATTCAACAAAGTTTGTTTCGCGTACGTCTGACAACGCTACATTTTTGAAAATATTTTTGGAATATAAATTATCACCTATATGGCGTGTGGTAGTTGTTAAGTCGTGAAGCTTGAAAGAATTCGCTTTGTTAATTCCCTAGAACTTCTAATAATATAAACTTCAAATTTTGTGATCATAATTTTAGAAGAAGAAGTGAAGACTTCCAGTCGTGTGCAGATCATAGATACAGGGGACCTGTTGATCGCAGCTGTTAAGGAAAGCGATGCTGGTCACTACACATGCCTTAGAGCAAATGAAGCAGGTGAAGTGAGAGGGTCTGCTTATTTGGGAGTCTTAGGTCAGTAACTCGTGTGCTTGTTGGAATATTTTTTCGAGGTTCAGTTTTGGTTGCAGTACGAACCCAAATTGTACAACCTCCAGTTGATACGCGGGTCCTCTTGGGCCACACGGCGACTCTACAATGTAAAATTTCGTCAGATCCGAAAGTTCCTTATCAATTAGATTGGTTTAGAGATAAAATGTAAGTATGTAGACAAATATAGCTTAGGACGGACCTCTGATATTTCTATTACCTGCTTTCCAGCATGATAAGTCCTAGAGGTACTCAGCGAATCAGCATCCTACAAGATGGCACTTTGGAAATTCAGGCTGTCAGAGCATCAGATGTTGGACATTATACTTGTGCTGTTCATTCACCTGGGGGCAATGAAACTCGCTCAGCTAAACTCAGTGTCATTGAGCTACCATTCGCCCCAACAAATGTCAAAGCTGAAAGATTGGATAATGGAAGCCAGAGAGCAGTCAATGTCAGTTGGACCCCTGGATTTGATGGGAACAGTCCCATTAAGCAATACATTGTGCAAAAGCGGGAAGTACCAGATTTTGGTAAGTGGGTTGTTGGAAAGAAGACCTTCTGCAAATACTGTTAAACGTTGTTTTTGTGTTGAAATTCTTTGGTTACTAATATCTTGGAGTATGGTTATTATTAGGATAGAGGTTATTAGGTTTTATTAATTAATAGCAGCGGCACTGCAGAAGTGTAAATAATTTTAAATTACGTAGAAAGGTTTTGTGCTCGTTAGTTTTTTTGTTTTTCTTAGAAATGCAAAATATGTGTACTGAATAATTTTTTTTCGGTGATGTTTTACGCATGCTATTCAAAAATGATAAATTTCATATATATTGACAAGTTTCTGCAGCACACGCCGATATACTTGGGTGGAATATGCGGTAAACTGTAAAAATATAAATTAAATTTGCAGTCTGATGTTCAAACTAGTACATAAGGTGATGGGTGTAGAAATATTTACTTGTTCCTGAAATTTTACTTGTGTTGCTTGTTTTTTACATAAAACGTAAAAATGTGATAATGTCAATATCCAAATTAGCTAAAATTGATTACACTATTTACATAAGTTTTTTCATTTTTAGCTCTATAATGAACTGTTATATTTGTGACACTAAAAGCTGAATGCAGGTATGGTAAACAAATTTTTTTTTCAGTAAAAAATTATGTTCTTTTATTATTTTTATCTCGATTGACTAAATTTGACGTTCATGTTTTATTATATTAATTATTAATTAATCAATTAATTAAAAAAATAATTTCTTATCTAAAATAACCTCAGGTGTAAATGTTCAATGTCCATTGTACAAGGTCTCGAATGTCTAGATTTACCTTTCATATTGAATCAATCTGTATACAAAAATGACACCTGCTCACACATATGTACCACAACATATTAGATTTTTTATAATAATGTGTAAATGTGGTAGCAAACGCAAATCGTTATAAAGAAACAGGGTTGTTGATTATGAAGCCTGACTTTCGAAGAATTTTAATAATGTTTGATCTGATAATAGTATTAAATTATTTGACAGTTGTTATCGCAAAATTCATGACACGCATATTCAAAGGATACTATTTCGCAAGACGCTTGACATATCTATATTACTGGATTTATTTTAACCTAGACAGGTTTACTCTTTTCTGGTAGTCTCCCACAGTTGGGCAAAATAAAACTGGATTAAAAAAATAATTCCTAATTATGCATGAAAGCGCCTTCTAGTTTAGTGCAACGTTGAAGCCAATGCCGTATTAGGATTTCCCGTTTTGGTTAGTTAAAATATTTTACTTAACATACCCTATATTTTCAACGATTAATATTGGTCACTACATTTTTGCTAGTTTTACTTAGTTTTGGTTAGTATAATATGTATAATGTACAAGGTGCTATTTAGATATCTTCTGGATTCCTCCTGAGTTTCAGTTAAATATAGTTTAAGTTAAGCTCTGACGAAGTCAACACGATATTTGGCGAAACGTCAACAAGTTTGTTGTAGCAACAACCGACGCAAGAAGAATCCATAAGATTTGTAAATAGTATTACGCTAGCCTGTTTCTTTGAAAAATTAATATAAAAGGTGTCCAGAAAATGTAGAGTATGTCTAAAATAAATCCCAATTTGCTATATAATTGTACGTCCGTAAATATTCCGTAAAAACGATTGTTTTTCTTAGAATTTCCGGACACCGTGTATATATTGATATTGATGGAATCAAATAGAGGGACGAGATTATATGCAGTTTTCACATTCTTTTGAAAATGTCGAAATAACTTTGTCGCATTTGAGGTTTAACCTAGGGTGCCTTCCACAACACCAAATTGTACAAAATAAAACTGTTTGTTATTTATTTTATTTTTTATTATTTTATTTCTTTTAATGGATGTTAGATGACTTTTGGTATTTTATTTATTTCAGTATGACGTAAGTTGACTATTTGGTATACTTGATTAGCCTGCAGCAGTTCTAATAAATATTGTAGTGGCTGACTGTATCAATATAGACAGTTTCAAATGAAGTCCTAGAGTTTTTGCTATATATATGTTTTAAAGTTTTATTTTGTCAAGTTTGCGTTTTATTTAAGTTTTTACTAACACTACAACACAAAAACATTGTTTAACTGCATGGGCATGTATTTACCGCTGGTTTTGGTCCACTATGGGTAAAATACTAAACTCAAATGAAAAATCCAAAATCAGTTTCAAAATGTTCACGAAATACTAAGCATGCTCAGCCTAAAGGACCCGATCCAGTTCAACCCAATATTGTACAGAAGCGGTATTATTGCGTTTCATTAGTACCTCCCATTCCAGGCCCAATACCTGATCCACTACTCAACTGGATAACAGAGATCAGTAATGTTTCCGGGGGTCAACGGTGGGTTTTGTTAACTAACCTCAAAGCAGCCGCATCCTACCAGTTTCGCGTGAGCGCAGTCAATAGCGTTGGAGAGGGCAGCCCATCAGAGCCTAGCAATCAAGTCATGTTGCCGCAAGAAGGTGAACATAATTTTTAAAATCTTCGACAAATACAGTTTTTACCAGAAATAAAAATATTTATATAAACACAGTAATGATAATGATTAATGAATCCATAAAAACTGTAGAATTGTATAAATGAAGTTAGAATGTGATGGCTACTTCAGATCAAAATAACTTATTTATAAACAGTTGGCTATTAGTATTTACCCATCACCTACGTATAATAATATTTCGTACTACTTATTATACTTACAGTATGCTACTAATAGTTTATGCATACATACTTTATTCTTTTGGTTACGTACTACACACTGTGAGTTTATTACATAGTCCATTTTAGCCTCTTTGAGATATGTAATAAACTGAATTATTACATATTACATCGGGTCAAAATAATATTACTTGGATGTCATGTGACAGTTTACATGTAAGGTAACCTCCTCGGGACAATATTCCCCAGTCATTACTTGTAGCGCACTAGAAATATAAATAAGTGTTATGAAAAATAAAACATTCCTAAGTGTTTGCCTAGAATATTTAATAGTATGCAAATTTATATTGGAGCTCAGTGAACTGTTTTTTTTTTGTTTTTATCATGCAGGCAGCTCATATATATTTCCTTTTAAAGGTGGGAAAGTTTCTGAATTTTTTGCATGCCATGTTTTATCCATGGTTTTTGTTGCGGTTAATTTATTTTTTCCTTACTTAGCTTGAAAAACATTTTTCACTTTTGTCTAAATCACTTTACACTCATTGCTTACACAGAAATGTGCTTCAAGTTATTTTTTTCTGCATTTTTGACATAGGAAGATCAAATGGAAACTGAATTTATTTTAATTTCACTTTTACTTTACTTATAGCTCCTTCAGGTCCGCCTGTCGGTTTTGTTGGGTCTGCTAGAAGTTCTTCAGAAATCATTACTCAGTGGCAACCCCCACTAGAGGAGCACAGAAATGGACAAATCTTGGGTTATATCATTCGGTATCGACTGTTTGGTTATAATGATAGCCCGTGGACCATTCGAAATATAACTAATGAGGTATGTTAACATTAATTTAGCTCTTCTTCATATTTCTTTTTTTTACTTTTATTATTTTATTCAGGCTCAACGAAATTATCTAATTCAAGATCTGATAACCTGGAAAGATTATGTAGTTCAAATAGCTGCATACAACAACAAGGGTGTCGGGGTTTTCACAGAAGGTGCAAAAATCAAAACAAAAGAGGGCGTTCCCGAAGCTCCGCCTAAGATTAAAAGAGTCGAAGCATTGAATTCGACAGCTGTGCAGATATGGTGGATTCCACCGGATCCACAAAAAATCAATGGTATAAATCAAGGTTACAAAATACAAGCATGGCGTTGGTTGAAAAACAGAGGCAACATTGAGGCCGGCATGATGACCGTTCATCCAAATTTACTGGACCCATATGCTGAACAAACCGCGGTAATGTTGGATTTGGAAAAATTTACTGAATACAATCTAACAGTACTATGCTTTACTGATCCTGGGGATGGAGAAATTAGCGATTTGGTGTTTGTTAAAACGAAAGAAGATGGTAAGTCTAATATGTAGAAAACTAACCATATCAAATATATTGTTAATAGGTCAGATATTATGAGTCTTAGAACTATTTTTAAATATCTCCTGCGACCGTCTTTTATGGCATAAAGCTGATATCAATTTATACCTTAAAAGTTTTATTATATTATTAACTATTAGTGTAACATTATCCAAAGCCCAAAATTTTTATGCGTTATAGCTGTCTCTCTCATGCCACTAGATTTATATGTAGCCGAAAGTAATGTTAATCCTGTTGTGAAAAGTCACTTAACAGTATTATACTTGCTGGATTACCTAATAAACCTAAAGAACTTAATAAAGCGTTTTTTTTTTCAATACTAACGTTTTATAGTTATGGCATCAATAAATTACATTTTTCTGGTAGCTAACCTACCCTGTGTCGCACTTGGTGTATCTTTCCTGTAGTGTGGAAAACCTCGCGCATTAATGTATCATATGAAGTGTCTAAAAAAGTGCACCAAACAAGATCTGAAAATTTGATATTGTTAATGCTAGGTAGCTTCAGAAGCAAGTTTTACGCTGATTGGAAATCCATAAATTTAAGAGATCAAACAAAATTGTTCTTTTCAATCAAGAGTTATATCTTCTTTGTTAAATTGCTAATGAAAAACTATATTGAATTAAGAAAATAACTTCAGCCTAATATCACACTCATTTCAATGTTTGACAATCTATAAGTAGGTACAATTTCCCAATATTTGTAATTTGTAAATCTTATTTCCATTATTCATATCTAGTGCAACCAAGAAATGCGTCGGTAGCTTGTCAAGCATAAGATCGTTATTTCATATTTTAAATCACATTTTGACTATATTGATCTCAATACTCTGATCTCTCAATACATACATAATTTCGAATAATAATTGAATCATTGAATATGGTGTCATTTATTTTGCAGTTCCTGACGAAGTCACCAACCTTCAATTTGATGACATCAGCGATAGAGCAGTTAAAGTTTTATGGCAGCCACCAAAGAAAATTAATGGTATTTTAACTGGTTACCAGATTCAGTACCAAATCAAGGATATGCCTGAAACATCTAGGGTTAGAAATTTGTCAGCGGACACTTTAGACCTAAAAGTTATGGAGCTTCTAGCAACGACGCATTACAGATTTGAGGTTACTGCCTGGACTGCAGTGGGCCCTGGACCTCCTAAAGTAGCAATCATTCAGTCAGGAGTTGAACCGGTGCTACCTCATCCTCCTTCAAAATTGGCTTTATCAAATATTGAAGCATTTTCGGTGGTTTTGCAGTTTACTCCAGGCTTTGATGGTAATTCTTCTATTACAAAATGGATGGTCCAAGCACAAACTGCAAGAAACGCAACTTGGTTTGTTGTTTATGAAATAAGCGATCCTGATGCGACTACAATAACAGTCACTGGACTAGTGCCATTTACTGTTTATCGACTAAGATTAATAGCTAGTAATGTAGTTGGTGCCAGTGTTCCTTCGGAGCCTACTAAAGAATTTCAGACTATCCAGGCTCCGCCTGCTCATCCTCCAAGAAATGTCACTGTTAGAGCGATGAGTGCTACTGAACTCCGAGTTAGATGGATTGTAAGCATTCAACAAACACTTATTAACTAATTCAGATTGCAGTAGTATTATTTTTCGCACAGCCTTTACAACAGATCGAATGGTTCGGCAATCCCAGAGGTTACAATATAACCTATACCCAGTTAAGAACTGGATATATGCACAGTGCCGCTATAGAGGATCATACTGCCAACTCCCACATTATTATTGGACTGGAAGAGTATGCTTTGTATGAAATCAGGATGCAGGCATGTAATGATGTTGGGTGCTCTTCACCAGGACCTAAAGCTTTGGAGAGAACTAGGGAATCAGGTATAAGTTGAATTTTAATATAAATTGTGGAACTGATTTATTCTTTTAAACATTAGTTCCATCATTTGGCCCAATGAATGTAGTTGCAAACGCAACTTCATCAACCACAATTCTTGTAAAATGGGGGGACATACCCAAGGAACATCAAAATGGTCTCATAGAAGGATTTAAAGTTTACTATGCTGCGGAGTCAAAATCGTCAGTGGACTACAAGATTATACCAAACAATTCTACATTTACTACAACATTAACTGAATTAAGGAAATTTGTGACATATCATGTACAAGTTCTGGCCTACACTCGGTTAGGAGATGGTGAACCTAGTAAACCTGCAGTAAGAGTTAGAACTTTCGAAGATGGTACATTTTATATCTCTATGGTTTTGTTACATTTTTTATGGTTATTTTTTTAGTACCTGGCGCTCCTTCAAACGTTTCATTCCCAGATGTATCCTCTACATCAGCTAGGATTATCTGGGATGTGCCTGAAGAACCTAATGGTGAAATTTTAGCTTACAAAGTTACATATCACATTAACAATGCAAACACAAACAACAAATATTCAAAAGAATTTCCTCCTTCAGACAGAACATTTCGGTTTACCCAACTTGACCCAGATAAATATTACATGTTTTCTGTCACTGCGCAAACTAGACTAGGATGGGGCAAAACTGCACATGCGTTGGTCTACACAACTAATAACAGAGAACCCCCTCAACCCCCTTCAGTGCCACAAATAAGTAGAAGTCAAATTCAAAGTAGAACTATAACATTTAGTTGGACGCCTGGTAGGGATGGATTTGCACCTCTACGTTATTATACAGTTCAAAAAATGGAAGACAGCGGACCCTGGCAATCTCTGTCTGAAAGGGTGGATCCTCAATTGACCAGTTATACTGTTACCAACTTAAAACCATTTACTACATATAGATTTCGAATTCAGGCCACTAATGATATTGGTCCAAGCAAGTTCAGTGCCGAGTCTGTTGAAGTACGAACTTACCCAGCTGGTAAGCCGCAAATTTATTTATTGATAATAATCGACATGAAAAAAAAAAAAAGAAATGGGTTATAGCGAAAATTAATTAAAACTACTATTTAGGAATTTTCTATAGTACAAAATTATTAATAATAAATATATAACCTTTTGTTAACGCAAATCAATGTTGATGAGGTCCCAATCTATCTTGATAACTGCCATGATTCGTCTCTTAAATCTAGAGTGGGTTTGCTGATGGCATGTCTGTGTAAATTATTTTTTTGATTATCTAAAGTTAATTTTGCAGTTATTTCCTTTTTTTACTTATTATATAGCACCAAGCAAAGCTGTAAGTGGATTGAGAGCAGTTCCCATAACTACAACAAGTGTTGAAGTATTTTGGGAACCGATAGAAGAACAGTATTGGAGTGGAGATAGTAAGACTGGAGGCTACCGAGTTATTTTCCAGCCCGTATCTGATTTTCCCACTGCCCTTCAAGCAACCCCGAAGGAGGAAGTTATGGGCATTAACGTAACATATTCATTTTTACTTTAAATCATGTTTCTTTATGAAAATCATTTTCTTCAGGCAAGGAAGATGGTGCTGAGTGAACTATTGCAAGACCGAAACTATGAAATTATTGTGGTATCATTTAACATCCAGGGTGAAGGACCAGCTAGTCCTCCTGTTACTGTTTATGTTGGGGAGGCTGTACCTACAGGAGAACCGAGAGGTCTGCAAGGAGAGCCAGTTTCATCCACAGAAGTAAGGTTACGCTGGAAGCCTCCCCAACATCATATGCAGAATGGAGAACTTTTAGGTTATAAGGTAAGCTATAAGTAAATGGTACTTGAAGGTTAAGTTAATCTTTTTTTTTAATAGATATTTTATTTGGTTCTCAATTCCCCTCAAGAATTGGAAGCAGGAAAAAAGTTAGAGGAAGAAATTGAAGTCGTTGCCGCGTCAACTACATCTCATAGCTTAGTTTTTTTGGACAAATACACAGAATATAGGATACAAATTTTGGCGTTTAATCCAGCAGGAGACGGGCCGAGATCTTCTCCTATTATTGTAAAAACCTTACAGGGATTACCAAGCGCTCCAGTAAATTTGCGCTTCTTGGATATAACGATGAATAGTTTAGTGGTAATGTGGGATCCACCAAAGAAAAGAAATGGTGATATTATGGGTTATATTGTGACATATGAAACCACAGAAGAGAACGAGAGTAGGTTACCTTTGCTAATTAAATGTGATAATTACTTAGGGGTAATTTTTCAGAATTCAGCAAGCAAGTAAAACAGAAAGTCTCTACCAACCATCTTCAAATTCAAAGTTTAGAAGAGGAAATTACTTACACTTTTACGGTTAGGGCCCAAACAATCGACTATGGTCCATCAGTCGCGAATAATGTGACTACAGGTCCTCAAGAAGGCTCCCCTGCGAGTCCTAAGGAATTAACGATATTAAAAACGCTTTCCAGTGTGGAATTGCACTGGTTAAATGGACCTACAGGCAAAGGTCCAATTCTCGGGTATTATATCGAATCTCGAAAGAAAGGTCAGTTTTTAAACATTATTAATTATTTTTAAAAATTTGATGTTCATAAATCTAAATTTATGACTATTTTGTTGATGCAACAACTATTGGCAAGTGCCAATTAAATTGCTATAACGTTTTTACTCTAAGTTTCAAGTGATGTCATTCAGACAAAATTTTTTTGAAATTTGTGAAATGTAAAAAACACGAGATTTTCAGAAATATTTACAGCTTCAATACCCGATCAACAGTTTTATATCAAAATTAAATGTAACAATTAACAAAAGTGCAAATACAAAAACAAAAATCTCATTTCTGATTTCCTCGATTCCAACCAACATTTTCTTTAGGTCCCTCAGAAGTCTGACCTAATACCAACATTCAATATGCATATGTGCGAGTCTTTCCAAACCAGCTAGCTTTAAATCAATAAGAGTTTGCGGTCTTAAATTGTTGATGTTTTTATTTAGATCTTAGTGGAGTTTATCAAACTAAAATTAGTGAAAAATATAATACAACGCAGTCGCTTCGTTGAGAGTTAACTAACTACCTACAAACGGTCCTAAAAAGTGCATCATAGACCCATGTGGCCTATATTATACAGAAGTACCAATAAATCAAAAAAGGGATAAAAATATCAGCATCACTTAAGTAGCAAAAAGTCTAAAAGATACAGATGTTAAACTACCATTCACAAATAATACCATTTATGAGTCAATTTATGAGCAAACTATTCCCGGATTCCAATTTTCACTTTAAAAAATAGTGCAACGACCCTGCTTATATTATCTAATAACTAATTGATGATAAGTTGATATTTAGCAGAGCACATACCGTCTTAAAATACCAACTGTATAAGGAATTCTCGCGTCTTTCAGAACTTCGCTGAGACAACGGTGCTGTCTTTTGATTGGCAAAACTGAAGTTATAAAGAGTAATTGGACATTTTTATTAAGCACAAAATTTCGGACTTGTGTATAAAATTAGAAAATTTGTAGTGCAGAGATGACTAAAATGACACTATAAGGTTAATTGTTAAGAAAGAAAGTAAATATTGCCCTAATAATTACTGTCGGTGACTCACTTTCAACTTGTCCTAGAATTACAATATTATGTTCTTCAATTTAAAGCAGCAGACGCTCTTAAAAACAATGGGAACAATTTTCTTATTTCAGAAGATACGCGATGGCAAACCGTGGCAAAAACTACGAACGGGCCTTTGCAAGAGTTCACAATTTCATATCAGAGTTTGTTGCCATCAACTCCCTACAATTTTCGTGTTATTCCTTACAATAAGTTTGGGATAAGCTGCCCAGCATATTCTGATGATTCTATTCTCACACCTTCAAAATTGTATTTGGAATATGGTTACTTGCAGCACAAACCATTTTATAGGCAAACCTGGTTCATGGTTGCTCTTGCGGCCATTTCTATCATTATTATTATTACCATCATTGCCGTGCTTTGTGTCAAGAGTAAAAGCTACAAATACAAACGTAAGTCGTCATAGATTTTTTTTTATATTAACCATCGTATTTTAGTCACAGTCATTTATCTGAGTTTGTTGGAGATCGTATATCATCTTCTGCAATATGTATTTACTTATGTCTTTATAGAAGAAGCACAGAAGACTCTGGAAGAGTCAATGGCGATGTCGGTGGGTGATCAGCAGGAATTAGCCATGGATTATTATAGATCAAAGGGCGTGAATGGTAACTTGAGTTCACTGGGAACAATGGGCAAAAGGTCAACTATGCCCCGAAAGCAACCACAACATCCCCCCTCTACAATACTGAGCAAAACACCTCCTAGACCTTCACCCGCTTCCGTGCCATACAACTCTGATGAAGAAAGTTTGAAAGGATATGACGAGAATCCTGACGATAGCAGCGTCACTGAGAAGCCATCAGAAATGAGCTCATCCGATTCTCAGGTACATATCCAATTAATATCTATTGCTCAAATAACACAGGTCTACAGTGATTTTGATGTTCGAAACCTGTTTGCTTGTTTGTATATTTTTGGTAACCCTTTTTCCAAATAAAGGCCATATTTTTGCTCTATCACGTAATTTTTTTATGGCACTTATATCTTAAGAACGTTATTTTATTAATATGACATGAACATGTTTATTTTTATGAAATTAAACGTGATTTCACAACAGAGTTGGCGATTGGAGTTGCGTTTTTCTAGTATTTTAAGACGTATAAATATGGAAATATTACATTGAAATAGACATTAGACTCGAATAGACCGCAAAAGTCTATTAAGTTAGTTGACCCTAAGAAAGTTTTACTGCCTCCTCTTCATATCAAACTTGACTTAATGAAGCAGTGTGTTAAAGCCCTAAACAAAAATAGACAATGTTTCAAATATTTGTGCGAGAAATTTCCAGCCATCTCTGATGCTAAGATAAAAGAAATATTTTTGTTGGGCCGCAGACAAGGATTTTCAAAACACAATTACCAATGTCGAGAAAAACGCCTGGGTTTCAATTAAAGAAGTAATTGATAAGTTTCTTCGGAACTCCAAGGTCGAAAACTACGAAAGTATTGTTCAAAATATGTTACAATACTTTCATTGTTTAGGTTGTAATATGAATTTGAAAGTGCATTTCCTGTTTTCACACTTGAACTATTTTTCTGAAAATCTGAATCGCTAGATGTTTAAACGGGATATGCGCTTAAAAACGCACAGCCGAATGTTCGCAGAACGAAGCTTTCTGGCCAAAAGACATAGATGTCACAAAAAGGTCTGAGTAAAGTTTTTTTTTTTCTAGAATTCCAATTTTTTACTGAACTCATTTTTAATAATAAAAACATCTGTCAAAAAGTTTAATTTTCTAGACCTGTGTAATTCATGTAGACCTGTGTAATATCGCACCCTTTACAGAAGGCACCTATTACAAAAAAATAATTTTGCAGTTTTGTTCTTAACTTGTTTTGTTATTCAAAGCCTTATCTAAATATTTAGCCTTAGCATTAGATTGCTTCTATGTTTTCACATTTTTAAACGCACGCCCACAAAATTTGTGATATGACCGCTTCGCGTTAGTTAATAACACAAGTATTGAAAAAAATTGCCTGACGATGCTGCTCTGTAACGGGTACGATAGATATTTACCAGTAGTTTTGATATCTACATACTTAATCACCAATTTCCTAACGCAGTAACACATATATTTTTTCAGGGTTCTGAAAGTGAAAATGAAAGCGTAAGGTCAGACCCCCACTCATTTGTTAATCATTATGCTAACGTAAATGACACGTTGAGACAGTCGTGGAAACGACAGAAGCCTGTGAAAAATTATTCGAGTTATACAGACTCAGAGCCAGAAGGTAGTGCTGTAGTCAGTCTTAATGGGGGTCAAATTATCGTAAACAATATGGCGAGGTCGCGTGCCCCACTACCGGGTTTCTCTTCTTTTGTGTAAAAAGCAGCTTGTAACATATGGAGGGCGAACGTCTGAACTATTTCTTGTTTTAAAGACTTCCTTTCATTTTATTTAATTAGATCTGTCTGTGAATGCATAGCTACTTAACGTTATTCAGAACAAATTTTGTACATAACTTAGTGGTAATTTTTTAATTTTAGACAATTGGACCAAATGTAGCAGTTATATTAAGTGTGATCTCATGCTGGGAGTTTATACATTTTTTTAATCGAAACGAGTTCACAATAATTGAGGTAAATAAGATTTCTTAATTTAAAAAAGAGCAATATGTAGCCATACAATAGCCATATTTTTATAACTTGCCTGGTTTTCATCATCTTTCTTTAGTGTTATTTTCGCGCTCATTTTATAAATGCAAAATGCAAAACTCGAAAACTGTAAATATTAAGTTAAAATATTTTTGCTGCTCAAAAACTGATTTATATCCCTAAGCGATTCAGAATTTTCTGATAAAGACTTTACTGTTTAGTTAGTAAGAAATAGACAAAATGTAAATAAAATCTTCTCTAATATTTGTTAAATATTTTGATAGAAAAATGTAGTCTGTACATTATTAAATTTAATTATGCAATGTGTCAATTACTCCACAGTTTTTAAATTGTCCAGAGTCTAGTTGCAAGCTAGTGATTGTATACACTGTCATTTCGTTTGAACTTAGGTATTTTTTGTTTGATTTCTCTAAGTGAAGTCAACTTAAAATATAAATTCGGCGACGTTTCACAGTAAAGCCAAATTGCCTGCTGGAAAAGTAGGTAAATCTAATCCGCAGTAAGTAAAAGGTGAGAACAAAACATTTAAGGTGATTTAGCTAACTTTCTCCTGAAAATTCAATAAAATTTGGAGGTGAGTAATAGTGGTGCAAGTAACAACACATTGGTATTTTTCTTGTAATTTATATTAAATATTAATTTCAATTGCATAGCTGATTGACAAACCTTCAGGTTTGAATGAATACAGATAGACGTTTAACACAGTTCAACATTTTTTGGAAAGGTATATTTTGAATCATGATCAGTTTTAATTGAAATTAAGTGAATGTAATAGCGGTTTAGCTACAACTGCTGTAATGTAAAAAAGTGCTATTCTTTCAAATAATGTTGTTTAATGAAATTAAATTGAGGGGACTATTTATAATTGATTTAAAATTTTGAATTAATGCACATGGAAATAAGTAAATTTCAGTTTTAGATAAGGTTTTAATCTTTTTTCAGTAAAAAAACGATTAGAATACTTCAACCGTTGTTGCGCCATATAAAGGATATACTAAACTTAAAAGTATCAAGGGGACCGAGCGAGATATTGTTATCAAGTTTTGCTTAGGACCGTAGGAGGTGGTAGTCTACATTTGAAAGCTATTGTCGCCGTCGCAGTATCGTTAAACACCCTGTAAACTATTGTTATTGTTTTGCGCAAAATTCTAAATTTATTTCATCCAGAATATATAGTTTTGATTAGTTACTTACAAGTTTTTGTTTGTTCATATAATATTTTGTTGACGGAAATAGTTTTTTTACCGCATTTAATATTATAAGATATAACACCATTTCTTCGTTATTTTTGACTATAGAGTAAAATTTTGAAATTGAGGAAATTGCACCTTAAACCTCTTGGATTTACCTGACAAAATTTGGCTTTGGTGCCACAAAACTTATTCAATAATTTTTTTATATTTAAAATATCGAAGTCGTTAGGACTTTGGGTAAATCGGGCAACACTGCGACGGCCAGAATATTTTTGAAATATATGACTGCAAACCATTACAATATCTCTGTTTTTTCTTTATGCTTCTAACAGGCCAGCATGTATAGAATGCTCTCTATAGAGAGCAAACATCATTACCACCAGAAAAAGATTGAATGAACATGCCACTGAATTCAAAATTGGTTCTTTCAAATGAGCATAAGCATTTTTATGAATCTATAAAATAATGACAATTAGTTTCAGGCACCAACAAAATAAAAGCTTGTTTTACAAGATAATTATTAGTGTTGATAGTAAATGACTTCCAGAGGTAGTTTTTGATTGTAAAGTATAAAGTTTAAGAGACAATTCTCTACTGTTACGAAAATACTTTACTTTAATGAATAACTGTATTCTACATTCACTGCCTTATAATTTAGTGTAATTTATTATAATATTTGTAAAATAAATCTGTGATTCTAATAAACTTTTTTTATTTACTTTTGACTGATTATCTGATCATTTTAATGGAAAACGCTTCAACTTTTGTCGTAAGAAAAGTCTGAAATAGTATATTATGCAACAAGTGCGGTAAACGGCATTTGACTCACGATTTTATTTGACACGAGCGGAGCGAACGTGTTGCATACTATACTTTTTCTACGACCGTTAGTTTTTGGGCACATTTTCGTAAAACAAGTGGCATGCTGCGTTTTGTATATGTATTGATTTGCATAAAAATGCGAAACATTTAGAAAATGAGGATCAAGACACTGCACAACTTACATTAAAGCTTCGGGTTACCTCAAATTACTTAATTGGACTTCAAGCGACAATCACAGGTTGCAAAAATGACAAAAGAAAATGTTACCTCATATTTTAACAACGAATGGCTTGTGTGTTATAACAAAATAAAGCTGTCAACGTTATATTATGGAACAACCATGGCTAAAATGTACCTAAAACATCTGATCGCTTCCAAACCCGTGACTAAAGTACCGGAAATGTCCAAGCGACTCACAACTGTAACAAGGGATCGTGGCAACTTTTTTCTCATCTGATAGGCTGGAAATAAAACCATAATTTGGGCTTATAAATATTATATGCCGTATTTTCCGAATTTGCTTAAGTTTTTTTGCGGTGTCTAGGATCCTCGCATGGCAAGATCTTAATGTTTAAATGGTTACACTGTGTAACTAAACTACTCTATAGTAAACGAAAACGGAAAAATTTAAGATTGAGAAGTTTGGCAACCTAGCAGCCCACCTTACTGGTCCTAGCAATCCGTTTTCTTTCCTAGTGTACGAAACACATTTCTAATATTTTTGCAACTCTGATATGTTGTTTTGGTGGAGAAGAGCTTTGAACACATTGAGAATAATTTTCTCATTTTTAGTAATCCATTTATCAACAACAAATTCATTAACACTAGCCATTTTGAAGAACAAACTTTGCCAACAACTGCAAGAAAGTAACGATAATTCTAATTTTAAACACTGAGGGCCAGGTAGGTCAACTGCCTGTCCCTCTACCTGTCACTCTCGGAACCCTTGACATCATATGTACAATATCTATCAACCACTAAGTTTCAGAGATCAATAATTTATAATTCTCTTAAGAAATTAAGACACAGAAGAAAATTACATGTATATTGAACTAGTCAAAAGGAACTTTGAAAGCGACGTTCACATCGCACTTTGTGATACAAAAAAAAAAAAACATTTTTCACAAGATTTTTATTGGTCGATAAAACAATTCTTAAAGTCTACCGACTAAATATAAAAATTTCTTTTAAATATGTGCAAACTTAAAATGGAAATCTCTGATAAATTAAACAAAATGAATGCCTAATAATTATCTACAATGGCACTAATAATCTAAGTCGATGAAGGAATTTATAGACAATTATCGATACATCTCAGACAGTTTGCAACCAAATACAATAAATTGCAAGTTAAACAGTGGTGGTGCTGGCAAAATAGTTACATATTTCAAAATAATATATTCACAAGGCATTATATTCACAAACTTATGTACAATTACTCACTCCATTCAACAGCGGGCAACGTTTGGGAGATGAGATCGTATGAACCCGCAAAATCAATTAAATAAAATCAATTGGTACAGCCGGGTTTATGTTACTTCTATTTTACTGGCACTAACAGGCCTTCGTAACTAAAAAACTTGAATCTCGTTGTTCGGAATAATTTCATTTATCACTATCACGTTTCAGTTGTGTAAAACGTGCTGTGAGTTAAACAAGAGAAATAGCTTTAAAGCGACCCGCGAAAACTCTATTTATTGTTTTCAAACAACTTGTCCCGCAGACATTTGATTTTATTTACAAAATACGCTTCTAACGATTCAGCACACTTAAAAAATGGAGACTCTTTTGGATTGTAATACCGACAATTGTCAAAGATTTTGGTCATATCTCCAATGAATTCGCTCAATTTCGTGTATGTTTTATCGTTTATTCGGTTTTCTATCATCTGTAAGTCTGTAACACATCAGAGTTAGTTAGAGTCAACACATATACAAATAAATGTTTATCTTACCCATTGGTTCTTTTATAACCTTATAATAATCTGGTGCCTCGGTGGGATCAACAGGTTCCATAAAGGGCCAGGCGCTTTTGTGGGCCTATCAAAAATCAATCAATCAAATTATCAAATCAAGGGAAAAAGATGGCAACATTTTAGTCGACCTAAAATTATGCATTTTGATGGGAAAAAAATTATGGCTAGCATCCTACATTATTGGTACAGTTCTATAATGACCGAAAAAGTGGGTAATTTTAAATTTGTTTTGAATAGACAAATCCAAATAATTTTTGGAAAAAAAAACCTCTCCCAAACGCTAAGAGGTACAGATTGGTTAAATTAATCAAATTATAAATAATAAAAAACATATGTAATAACAAAACCAAAATTATATTAAATAAATTTGTGAAAACTGTCTAATTTTATTTGATAGATTATTTTAAAAATTGTTAATTTTTGAGACCCAGTCGTATAATGAATGTTTTTCCGCTGTACAATATGAAATCTCCAAATTTTGAATCTGATGCTTCGTGCTCATTTTAACACGAAAATTGCATTTTATTAGTAGGACGGGTTTTGTGAATTTTTCTAGTTAAATTTTAAATTTTAGAAAACCGAATAAATTCTGACCTTTTTTGCTATCTGCCAGGTATTGCATGAACTAAACAAAATTTGCTAATGTTTAATGGATGTCAAAACTTTTATCTATTTAAACTGACAAAATGAGAAATACAGAAAAGTATCACAAACAAGAACCTAACAAAATTCAAGTGCATGTTAAGCCCATCATCCTATTATGCAACATGGCTAAGGGAATTTATGCCATAAGACTTGAAAATCCATATTAAACAAAAAAAAATTAATTTTGCTAGTGTAGCAAAAGTCAATGAGTGTAAGAATATGTAGAAATTATAAGATCAATAACGCAACTACCTGTATTTGCTTAATTAATTTTCTAAGGTTGTCATAGTCCTTTTGAGCAAGATCCTTCATGTTCGCATAATTGACAGAGCTGTTCCTCTGACATCGCGGACATACATATTCGTCAATGTTGTCTGCCTCGGACTGTAGTATACCGACACACCTACCATGGAACCAGTCCTGACAACTGTCACAACAAATATAGAACCTGGAAAAAGTGTAATTTATGAGAAATCCACTAGAAATATAATAAAATCATATTGCGAATTCCAACTTACTAAAACAATAAGGAAGAAAATACGATCAAAGCTACAATCAATATGGAAAATGAAGTGCTCATGATTATCTTTTTTGAACCTAAGATAAATCTTCCCTTAATTAACATGGCAGTTAGTTTTAGTTTACATATTAAAATTCCAGAAAATGTAAATTTTAAATATTCAAAGTTACATTCAGGACTTAAAATTAATGATGAAATATTAAATGTTAAAGAATTATATAATATATAAATAAAACAAAAACTTTTTATAGACATACCAATAAATCAGTCCTTCTGGCATTTTATAGCTATTATTACTTCCCCATCTTGTAATTCGTTTTTTTTATTGGTAATACATTATAAATCTGGTTTTGGCAAAGTATGCATGAGGTTGCTTAGGACCAAATTATTAAGAAATATATTTGTGTTGTTTATACCATGTACTGCGTGTAAGTGCCAGTAAGGGCAACAAGATTATTAAGGAAACAGAGGGAAGGTACTTCAATACCGTGTCCCGTTACCCTTACTGGGGCACTCGGTGCTGTGTTTATTTAGTAGTTATTAGTTTTTTAAGCTGAAGATTCGTCTTAAAAAAATCATATTAACGTCGGTCCGGAAATGTTTAGTTTCCAAGATACGTAACTAATTTTCAAATGTGAAAAGGTACTATCTCAAGAAATAATGTGAATTTTGAACTTAAATTTGTTGGCAGTAACTATGATGACCCAATGAAAGGTTTTTGTGGTTTAAATTTCATTCAGGTATCTTAAAGTGTTTTAGAAATAATTTTAAGAGATTGTTTGCGATTGATCGAGGCGTTTTTGGAAAAGGATTCATTAACCAATTAAACCAATCAAATAGTTCTGAAACACACTGTATATGTAGATTCTCATAAATTTGGTCATAACACACCGAAGTAAGAGTAAAGAGTGGAGTAATTTCACAAAGTCCCAATGTACTAAATTTTACCCAGTTATTGTTTTACATAATAAAATCGAAACCTCCAGAACGCAAGTTCCAATGCTTGACTTATTTTGGAAATATTTCGTTACACCTAGCTAAATTGTTCAAGAGCAGCGTTTAAAACAAACAATACATTAAAACAATTTAGAATAGAAGTTAAGGATGCAATAGATAATTTTTCTAGATCAGGAGTACATTCTTTGAATTGTGAGGATAGTAATACAATTTATATCGGACAGTCTAGCAGGAAGATCTCTATCTGGGATCTTAGTTTGGTGAAAAAGTACATGGACGGAGGTGACAGAGATCAAATCTTCTTTCGTTATTCATCTTTTGTCGACAGGACATAATTTTCCTCCAAAGAAAAATATCATCGTTTTACAAGTATGCCCAAAATGTAAAAAACTTGATCTGGAGAAATTTAAAATCACCAAAGCCAAGAAGAGTCCAATCCAATTGCGTCAATGACGTTTTTTTAATTTTTAATAATATAAACTTCAGGTCTCCGGTGTAAGCCTGTTAGGTGTTTTCTGTTTTCTTTTTTTAATATTTTTGGCTTCCTAATCGCAACATTTCTTATATCATTTTTTAGTTCTGGATAAAATCTGCGTATTCTTAATTTATGTAAGTTATTTTATTATTTCAAAAAATTGCTTATATAGGATGATGCCCATGTGAGCAGAACACGTGTAACATTTTACAAATAATAATTTTTGAGCCATCGATTTCGGAGTTTAATTGAATCCTTATAGTTCAATCAACTCATGGTTTTTGAATCTGCTACCGTCTGAAACGAATGCGAAAATTTTATTTTCACTCAACTTACTGAGAATCGTCATATGGCTGTTGACAGAGGCAATAGAGTTTCTGAGACTCCCTTGCTTGTTTGCATTCCTCACAAACGAACTCAGTCAATGTCTTGCTCATTTCCTCAGTTATGTTGACACAATCACCGTGGAACCAATTGTTGCAAAGATCACAGCCGACATAGAACTTTGTTTCATCATATGGTGTACGACACAAACAGTAAAGCTGTAAAAAAAACATTTTACACAATTCCAAATTTAAAGTTTAAATTTAATTTAATAATAATTAATTTAAAATAAAATGAACAATGGTTTACTTTTTCTTTTTTAAGTCCCCGATGACCTCCAGGATTAGGAGAGGAATTAGACTTTTGAGATTTCTTGTGGCGATTAGACATGCTTGTTTGTTTCACAACGGGAATAGCTGCTGTGGTAGTAGTGGCCGCAGATTTTCGTTTGCTACTACCAGTTCGAACCTCGTCTTGTTTATTCCTTTCGATTTTAGTTCTGGCCGCAAGTTCCTCGGCAACTTCTTTCTAAATGTTAATAAAAAAAAAAAACAATTGTGAAAAAATAAAAACTATATAACTTATTTATTTATTACCTGAATCTCATACTGCAATTCTTTTTCTAATAAAGCCCTCTTGCGAAGAATATCCTTTTTTAGCAGTTCCTTTTGCCTATAAAGGCTGACCATCACTTTTGCTTTCATGGATACCTTTTTATCAGGATCCGGCAATTCTTTCGACTTCATTTTTGCCCTGGGCGAAACTACTTTTTCTTTACTTATATTTTCTGACCTGCAGATGTATATTTGCAAACTTTAAATACAGGAAGATAGAATGGTTACTTTCTTGAGAAATGAAATGTTTTTGAAATCAGAATATGGATTAGAATTTACTATTCATTTCAATGACATAAATTTCATTTTTATATCACTTTAAAGTACTTACTGTACATCACTATCGGTCTTTTTCGATTCACTTGTACGATTTGGCCTAGTTCGTTTAGGTGTCTCCATCACCCACTCACTGTCATCGCTTTTTGATATGCTCGGAGGTCGCTTACGTGTAGGTGGTACTAAACGTGCTGCGCTTACCACAGGTGAAGCAATGACTTTTGGTAAGGGAGATGGACAGTTATCAGGTTCCTGCTTCATCTGTTTCTCTTGGTAGCGCTGTAGCTGCAGCAATTTCTCTTCTATTTCAGGATTAAGATTCTCTTGTTTAAGTGCGGTTTTGATCGCTGCACGGGAAGGATAAAAGAAAAATTTATGAAAATGAAATTTTTTTTTTAAAAATTATGAAAGTGAATATGAGGAAAGGGTAGGAAATAATATGCAACCGAAAAGAACGAGAGCAAACTATATAAAAAAAGAAAAAATAAAACTAAATAAAATAAAACCAAGAAGTGCAAGGGTTTGTTGTCAAAAAAAGTCAAATTTCGATTTTGTAACAATTTATTGCACAACTTTTCAGATACAGTCTACATTTTACAATAAGGCTGTAACTAATAAAAAAGTAGTTAGAAACCCGTCAAAAGTTTCTAAACCCGCGAATCGCAAATTAAAGCTTCAAACAAAAAAAAGAACATCAGTCTTTCACATCAGACTAAATTACCAAAATATCACAGAAGGAAATTAATTTTTTAATTTTCTAATCCAGAAACTTTTGACGCGACATGGAACCCTTGCTCTTCTACCAACGGTTTTTTTAATTTAATACTATAAACACAAAACGTAGTAGGAACCACAACAACTTAATATCAATTGATTCTTTAAATAAATGATGCTCTCATACTAATTTTAGATAGAATTAGTACATTTTTGAAACTTTGAAAAAAAAAAGGTTTGCAAAGTTGATGATTAGAAGAAATATCGATGTTACATCTTAGCGAAAATTTGCTCAAGAAGGAGGCGATGGCTTGGTGCCCCATTCAGTTACCGCGTATAGGTACACTATTTTGCATTTAATTGTGAAAAATATGAAACCCTCTAGAAAAATGAATTATCAATGAATAAAAACAGAATCTTTATCAACAAATTTCAAGAGCAATATTTTAGACCGTCTGGCACCGACATGCAATTATAATTCTATATATAAAGCCCAAAAAAAAAATACTTAAAAAATGTTTATGGTTCATCACAATTTTTACTTGCGAGGGTAATTTTGATGTGGGATCTATTAAAATTTATCTTTCTTATTTCTGATAAGAGCTTTGACTTGACCATTAAAAATAAAATAATAATAAAGTAATAATATAAATTCATTATTTTATCCACATACTTTTGATCCGGGACTGCAAAAGAGCAAAACTATTTTTAGATATAACCTTTTTTTTTAATATAAAAAGAGGTTTGAAAAGGAATTGAAGAGTTCAAGTCAAACCTAAAATCCAAGACTTAGGGTTAGAACTCTTGAATCCTTTTTGCAAAAAAAATAAATAAATAAAAATATTAAACAGAATTTATTATATTTATTTAAACATTTATTACGCAAAGTTGAAAAAAGGTTCAGAAAAACATTTTTTGTTGGGCGTTTCAAAAGGTCAATTAAATTGATGGATAGTGATAAAAAAAAAACAATTAAAACACAGTAACGCTAAATGGTTTTGCCAAAGAGGATCTTCGTGTTATGATAAAATACGGGAACTTTTTTTTTACAAGTACTTCACCAAAAATTGAATTTTTAAATAAGCACGCTTTTTTCCAGTAATTAACCTTTTATCGTGAAATCGGGCATCCCCTACTTATGACGTCATGTCAGCAGACTGCCGACGCGGTAAGCAAGTTTGGTGGCCAAAATATATTAATTAAAACGAGTGATACACGATGTGAGTATTGTATAGGATCTTTATCGTACACACAGACACACGAAAAACGGGATTAAAGTATTTCCGTGAAGTTCATTTTTACTTAAATAATTTTTGGGTATTTTACTGAGTTAAAATTTAATGATTAAAAAAATATATTCTTAATTATTGTTTAATAAATTTTAAAATTCAGTGTTGGCATTTTTAACCAATATCCTTACTCAAAATATGGATAAAAAACTAAATCAAAATCACTTTTAATCTTCTCAATTGATTCGCTTCTTATAAAATTTTGTTTTTTCTTGTAACTAATTTAAATGCAAAAGTTAAGGTTTTCAAAAATTAAAAACTAGATTGTAACATATATAATAATGATATATAATATATATAATGACTCTGACAGATCCCGTAAAAAATGTACCTTAATCTGTGTCTTCTTAATCTGAAGAAGTAATAAAATCTGTAAATGTAAAGTTAAAGTCAAGGGCCCCGCCACATATTTTTAAGTGTCAAGAGATTTGAGTAAATATAGTCAATAATACTTCACTTGCTTATGCCAAATTCCCAGAATCTTCCATATGTAGATATTCCCATAAAAATCTCTCTTGTAAAGCCACCTTGATATAATTTTGAAACGGTTCATGATATTATGCTACACAGAACCTAGACAAATCAACTAACTTTCTCCTTTTACCTCTTTTAGTTTTTATCTTTAGAAGTAATATTTTCACATCTTTAGAATTACTGGGTCTGTCTGAATTTAAACAAAAATTGTGAAAAAATTGAGCTAAACGAGCACTATCATTTTTCAACACAGGCAACCAATTTTCATTCAAATTACACATAAATACATATAGACAAAGGCTGCAGTGGGGAACCCAATTCTGAGTTTTGTGAGTTGAACTGACAAATTGGTAGACTGTTTTGCAGAACCTGCAATGAACAAAATTCTGCCACGCTTCCGCATAAAATGGTTTCTAAGTGAGCAAATGGAATATGTAGACTGGATATCAATGCGATGAAAATCTTTGGTTAGGTAGAGAACATCTAATTGTCATATTTTTAAAGGACTGGTGTTGAAAGGTTAAACTCTTTTTCTTTTGACTAACTGTGTCTAAAGAAAGAAAGGAGTAAATAAAATTTTGATATTTAATTTCATATTCTTATCCCTATATTGAATATTTTAACTTTTAAATTCAATATTTCTTCCACCACCCATACATACTTGCGTGCACAGACCGACTGTTAAAACCACAACTTTGGACCAGACCAATTTCTACGCCAGCAAGTATATTTATAGCATAACATTGATAATCCGAACCATTTAGTAAAATAATGAAAATTAACTTAGTTCAAAATATGCGATTGAAAAAAAAATTATTTTTTTTTGCTTTATCCCAGTTGCTTCTCCATATTGCGCCCTTTTTTTCATTTCAGATTGACTAGAAGCTCAAATGCTACAAAATGCTCTTTTACTTATTTTTTTCTGTGTTGGAACTGTAGAATCCCTGACAAATTAAGAGCTGCAGAATTGTCTAATAAATCAAAACTCCTAGTACAATAAATTCAATTTTAATGTATAGTGCAACATGTTCACATTGTTGGAACTCAGAACAAGTCTAGTCAAGTATAGTCATAACGAGTATTGCAAACCAAAATTGTTTGGATTATTGATTCAAACTTTTGTTGTTCGGATTACCAAGGTTTGTACTGCATTTGCTTTGTGCAAGCTTTCAAGAGGATAACTCCGCAAACAATGAAAACTGACTGAAAGTTCAAACGAATTTGTAAATACTTATCCCTCACTAGTCAGTCATATAGGATTTATCTGGTAAAGTATCGAACAGTGGCAGGGGTGGTAGTGTCATTTTGCAATGGGTATGCGCAACTGGGGTTGTACACTATAACGGAAGGTTGATATACCAACATACTTTGCTGAATGTAGTCAGGCGTAACAACAAACTGCTTGTTCTGATCTGGGGTGGCAGCCACTGTAGATGGTTTTAAGTTATTATTCACCAGAGCAGGTTGCTGATTCTGCTCCAAATTTGTTTTCATGGCTTGCAACAAAGCAGAAGTTTGAGTTTGTTGACCATTTGCGACCGCCTGACGGACAGTGGACGCTGCAGTGTCAAAAGTCTGGAAGTTATAAGTAACATACATTATTAGAAGAAACGGGCAATAGCAATAAGTTAATCCCCATCTACTTATACCTATCAAAACCAATTCATGCATAAAAAATTATAAAATTATTAACAAAATAATTTATTTTTCGGCAAATCGTCAAATTACAGCTTTTATTTATAATACAATATGAAGAAAGATTGGAGCTACTTTCCAGGAATGCTTTCAAGTCTACTTTCTCGATCACTTTGATAAGAAATAAATATCTTATGAAAAAATATAATAAAATTTCATATCTTAAAAGAAATGCAAAAATGGAAAGAAAAGCATAGTACTAAATAAAAAGTCATGCTAACAGACTGTTTACATCAAAGAAGTTGAATATTGCCATTTTTTGGTAATTTATAACAAAGAAACCCAATCATTCCAAGAAAATTTGAAAATTCACAGATTCACACAGGAACTTATAAACAAAGTATGTACCCTACACCTGAAAATCACAGTTATTAATAATATTAAAAAAAAACATGAATAATTTTGGAAATCATGCTCAATATCTACTAGTAATAAGTTTTGTAATTTCCATACAATTACTTTGTATTTGGTGTATTGATCGAGTTTTAGAAATATTACAGGAAAACGACGTCCGTATTTATACCAGATACCACTTTTACGACCCTGACTATTCATTATCAAAAATACTTTTTTCCAATTCAATCTGAACACTTTGTATATCATGACAATACAAATTTGTATGAGAGAGTCAAAATTTCTTATACTATAACAAATCCTAGTGAAATAAATTGTACTGGTAAAAAACGGATAGAGAAAAAGGTATATTACAAAGTTGATGGCGTCTTGAAAACAATCCAATTGATTTTTTTTTAAACTTTGCCTTAATTTATTGTAAAATTTTTAAAAAATATTCAAACAGTCACTCACTTATAATGTCAAATTCCATTTAATCTAATTGGTCTATTATTTCAAAAACTATTAATTTTCACTACACAGTTTACATTCAACTTTTATAATTTTATAGACGTTTTTCACAAATCACCCTGTAAAGCAAAAATCTTTTCTTGAATTTAACCGACCTTGAAACATTTACTGATTTGGTTACAGCAATGGTGATTAAACGGATTAAAACGGACACCCGGTATATCTCAATCCAAATGTACATTTTAACGGAATTAAACATATGTACATATATTTGGACGCCCAACGCCATTATCACAACGATAAAATTCAAAAATACAGAATAAAGTTAAAGTACTAGATTTTTAAGTATTACTTACCCAATTTGAAAAACACTCCACATTTCAATACCAACCTTAGGTTTTTTTAATATAATCAGGCATCAGGAACATTTTTTTTAAATAAAAAACAAAGTCATTCCATACCTTTCCAAAAAAGAAAGTTTTTAAAGCACAGGTCAAACAGATCATTTACAACTTGCATAAATGTAAGACCATTACAATTACAATTAAAGGTAAACAAAATTGTTGAGTGTCGTTAATTTTGGATCTTATGTACTAACACAAAATGTTAACTTTGCCATGAGCTTTAAGCGAATTGAACCAAGAGACTACAATTTAATCTATACAAACAAAACTTCCACAAAACCCAAGATGGTAATAGCAGCTTGATGATGCCAAGCGTATGAGAGAAATTTGGCTGGGTTATATTGAAAGGAAATAACTAAATATAAACAGTTAACAGGTTACAAGAATTTATTTAGCCATCAAAGTATATGAACAATTCAGTTACAATAGTTTTACCCTATTAAACATGATAAGTAATTAAGATGCATACTTTACAATCATATCAAAATACAAGCAGTAAAACACAGCAAATGACACCAAATGAAAATAAATAGTAGCAAAAGCCATGCTTGTCAATAGAAATAAATGGGTTAATGTCAAATAAAAAGCGCCTGGGATACAGACTGGACTATCACCTTGGGATTTTGGGGCGATTTGCATACCTGAACTGGGACTGCAGGCTGCTGCTTAATGGGACTTGGTGATGCCAATGTGGTCTGCAATATATGCTTGGTGACGGTATTTTGTTTTACTGGGGTTAGCGGTGGCGGGTTGGAAGAAGAAGGCTGCTCAGAGGACTCAACACTACTGGGCTGGACGGCCAGATAAATTTTGGTAGGCCCAAGCACGCCTTGCTTACCGGTTGATGCTTGTGCTGAAAGTAAAAACACAATTTCCATTTTGCCATATAATTTTGTAATTGCAACCTTTAAGAAGCTGCTGCTTAACTTGCTGTTGTACAGCAGCTAATTGTTGAGGCGTAAAATCTGCACCCTGCAAGCCTTGCAACACAATTCTCGGACCTTGTTGGGTCTGAATTACTTGCGCCGTAACGCACTTGATAACAGTGCCCGCAGGTTGACCGGCTAACAAATGATCCATTGTTGCTTTATCAATCTGATTGTCACTGCTCTGCTTAACGGGACTTTGAACGACTTGTTGATGCAGACTCTGTACATTCTGAAATTAAATTTCAGTTACTCTCATTTAACATGACTAACGAGCTTGGTTAACCTGCGAGGTCTGTGTTGGTGTTATCAGTTGAGCATTTATTGAAGAAGTTATGCTTTTTAGAGGTCCAGGTGATTGAGCAGCTACCACCGGAGAGCTCATCTGCAAAGTTTGCGTGACGCTTCCCGGCGCTAATTGGGCAACTACCTGGGCTTGATTATTGCCAGTTGGTCTTATTAGAACTTGTTGTCCATTAATTGTCGCCACTTGTACCTTACCCGTGGCAATTTGCTGAGCCAAATTTTGGTTGTTTACCACAATCTGGTTTGTAATTATCTTAAAACAAATTAAATGAATTAGTAGTTTCCATTTAAACGTGGTGGCCACTTTTCCAATGGGATAGGTTGGGTAATTTTGACCTCGCAGAGTCAGTTCAATGGGATGAAAATTAGCAAAATTCAATCAATGTCAAAAAATCGAAATTCTTTGATTTTAGTATTAGAATTGTATTAGAAAGTGAGCTTCTTTCAAATTCAGTCTTTTTAATTGTATATTATGCAACGATTGCGGTAAACGGCATTTGACTCACGAGTTTATTTGACACGAGCGGAGCACACGTTTGATAAACGAGTGACTTAAAAAGTTTACCGAACGTGTTGCATACTTTTTCTACGACCGTCAAAACACGAATACTGACGTGACCGTTGGAATTGACAAAATTCAAGGCGCGGGAAATATCTCCGAAAACATCCGATTGCTCCCAAATCCGTGCGGCAAATTTGCGGAAATGACCGAAGTGGCTCGGATCCGTGGGAAACGAAACTGACGTGGTAAAGTGACGCTTCCCGCACGCTAGATCGGTGTGTAATTAGATATTTTACAGACGGGAGTGGAAAAAAATCGCTAATTTTATAATTTATGAATCGTATTAGCATAGACCATCCTTACATCATACTACTTTTAATTTTAAATATTTAGCAGTTCAATAACTGAAAACTGATTTCCCATGTTGATGTTTGTCATTAAAAAGGAGCAATTACATATCTTTGTTCCGTGCCAATCTTAATTCAATTAACCATACCATGTAATAAAAAAAAACAACATTTTAAAGTGTCTTAAACGGGAAGTAGTTTTTTTATGCGCATTAGTTCTTTATAAAGATACAAAAGTGCAAACCATTTTGGCCTAATTTTAAAATTTTTTTTTCAATTAAAATTAAGAATATTAGACTTACTAACTAATTATAAAATTAGCTTAATTTTTTAAAATAATCCACAAATGCCCAAAAATGCATTTCTATTTAAAATTTCAATACCTTGTAAACCAAACAAGTGAATTTCGACGAAACCCATTTTGGAACCCCAAAACACACAATTTTTGCAATAACAGTAATTACACTGGAATACAGAGAATTAGGATTTCCAAAAAAAATAATCTTAGTTCATTTCTCATAATTTAATGTCCTTCAGGAAATTATCCTTCAATACGCAACTTTTTCCCGTTGAACCGACTTTGTATCTTTAATTTTTTAAAAGTTATTCATACCATCCAAATGGAAAAAGCTCACCTTGTATGTATGTTGCAGGATACAATAGAATAAAATTAACATTTAATATATATATATATATATATATATATATATATATATATATATATATATATATATATATATATATATATATATATATATATATATATATATATATATATATATATATATACAATTTGTAATTTGATTTTAATATAGATATCATACTACTTAACAAGTGGGTTATACTCATAACAATAAGCAACATAATACAATTTGTGAAATGTATTTTCTGATTTTGATGGCTATCTGTGCAAGCATAACTGTAGTACTCTGATCCGAATTGTAAAAATATATTAGCACTATTAAGAAAAAGAACTCAAAACAAGTGACGGATTTCTATTGAAACGACAGAGTGAAACTCACCTGTTGTCCACCTTGGGTAGCAATCACCTGGTTGCCACCAAGCACTACCTGCTGTTGTATAATCTGACCACTGCTGACTACAACACCAGTGTGACCAACTTTCTGCACCACTGGAGTATTTTGTTGCTTGACAATGGCCTGTTTTATTGGACTCGGCTGCAAGACTTGTTGAGTGACAATGGTTTGTTGTTGTGGCTGCAGCTTGACTTGAGCACTTTGTAGTACCACTTTGCTACCTGTTTGAGCAGTTGTTGTCACTGACGGTTTAACGACGGTTTTAGTCACCGTGCAAGGGGTTGAAGAAGAAATTTTACTCTGTTGAATGTTTGCAGCTGACTGCAGTTGCGCAGTGGTAAGAACCTGTAGTTTACCATCAGGAAATTGAACAAGTTGCTGTCCTGGCAGAAGGCCTTTAACGGTGATGCGACCATCTGAAGTTCGCATAACCTGAACTCGTTGCGGTGTCTCTTTTGTGGCAGTAGTTGAAGAACTGAGGGAAGGTGTGACTGAATAATAAAAACATGGGTTTGTTAAACAGAGTTGCAATTGAAGTTTTTTACAATCAAAAGTGAAAAATACTATCAGCATGCATATTTGCTTTCTTTACACTAATTAACAAACATTGTTTGCCAATACAAAGGTAAATACATAACAGAAATGCTTTAAAACACACAATTTAAGATAAATATACGATAAAATTTAATTAACATTGTTAGCTTACAAGCTGATTTAAATTTAAATTTGAATGTGATAAATGTAAAAAAAAAATATGTTATATTTATAACTTATAACTCCTCCGTAGATAATATGAGATTCAATCGTGTCTGATTGAATAAATTATATTCTCACACATTTTTGCAGCTCTTCAGCACAGATTCAGTTTCTATTCTATGGGAATTTGTGATCAGATAGCCGAATTACCTTACGGGACAGCCCTACTGTTACTACTTGTTTCTTTCTTAGATTAGATGATACAAAATATATAATAAAACATTTTTTTATTTCTTTGTACCTAGAGAAGGAGTATTTGGAAAAATTTTAGAGCCCTTGAAATATATACTCCAAATTTGCGCAAAGACTGGTTCATAGGCATGAATTTGAAATCATAATTATTACTTTTCCAATTGTTTTCCAAAACATCATGGAGTATTAATGACATGATGTTTCAAAAAAAAAAAGCTCAATGACAACCTACCAGGCTGAATTTGTACTGCTTGCACTTGTGCACCGTTGGTGGTTTGAATCTTTATCAAACTTTGTTGTTGAACTCCGGGAACAGTTTTGGGTACCAAATTCGCGGATCCACCTGCTATTAGACGGGTCGTTCCATCCGGACCTTTGGTCATGAGTATTCTACGCCCAGATAATTTACTACTGTTCGTCAGCAACGAGGTTAGAGTATTTTTACCACTAATCACATGTTGATTGGGCACAACAACATTCTTGACTAGCTTTATTGGACCATCACCTGTTGTAACTGAAAATGTATATATATCTATATCAAAAGAGAATGTCAAAAACTTAAAAAAAATATGAATGTCAAAAAAAACAATACAGGAAGAAAACAAAAAATCATTTTTATATAGGTACCTATAAACCTTCCGCCCAATGTGCGTCTGTAATTACACCATGTGTTTATGTCGGAACTAATTTTTATATCTCTAGCGCATCATAGGCGTTGAACACAATTTATTAGAACAACCGAACCAATTGCTTCATTTCCTCTCAGAAATAATGTGTTAAATTAAGCGAAGTCACTCTTACTTTTCATCCTATCTCTTACTGGACATTATAGTCATATACAAACCAAAATATCTGGGAAACTGACATGTAGTATTAATGATACCTTTTTTGTCATTGAATCACAAGAAACTATTTTTTTAAATAATTAATTAATTAATTAATACTCTACTGTATTTAAGCGGAAGCAACTGGAAAGATCAGTCAGCACACGATTTAAATAACTATAACGAAACGCACACACAGAAAAGCAAGCTCAATTTGTTTAGTTAAAAACTTACAGATATAAATACACAAATATTAACAAATTGGTAAACGCCATTTTAGTCATGAGTTTCATGTGGCCTGACGGGAGCGAGTGATAAAAGTCAGTGAATAAGTTTACCCAACATGTTGCATAACATATATACATTCATGTCAAAATGCCTTGGCTAAAACCTACCAAAAACATTAGGTCGTTCCGAAACGCGTGACTAAAATACCGGAACTAAAAATACCAGAACTGTAAGTAACGAAGTATGAATGTGACACTTTTGGCACGCTTGATCCTTGCATAATTGAGAAGTTGAGCAAAAACTTGCTAATTAGCTCCATCATAATACCACAAAACCCGAACCACTATTACAGTATACTAATGCGCACTGCCCTGTATATATTTCATGACAGCAACAAATTTCATTGATGGCGCAACATAAAACACTGTGCGTAAGGAGTTTAATACCTTATAAATATAAATATTTTAAATAAATCAATGAGAAAATGCTGCATCACCAGCAAAGGGTCATTTGAAAAATTAAAAACACTTTGACCAATCACATCCAAAGCGCCAAAAAATACAGGTGCTAAAAGTGTAAAGGATATATTTTTAACAAATGAATTTCCTTAAATCGTTAAAATTTTATGTAATATTTTCATGGATTTATAGATTTTGTTTTGTACATAAACATGTGCTCATTTTTGTAAAATAAATTATTAATAAGAATTAAAAAAAAAACAATTATTGTAAATGTGAATCGGAAAAAAGAAACAATACCAATACAATGAAACTAAAAATACCAATAAAATTTAAAAAACAGTCGAACATGCAAATTACAAAACTGAAGTGGGAAAACCATGGATAAATAGACTTTAGGTACCTTTGTGTACTTTTTGGAATTATATACAGTGTATCATTGAAATGACATCACATAATTTAATGAATCAATCTCATCTCACAATAAAAGACTCTCGGTTAATATTTAGAACATTACTTATAAGTTCAAACCACAAAAAATAATTTATTCAATTCATAAGCTTACTGCGTTTCATCTCTGTTTTAACTTCACTCGATGATGACCCTTTAGAACGTAGAAGGCGCGGAAAATATCGTGTCGACACGAATAAAAATAAATTGAACTTCTTCACTGGCACTTTAGTAGAGTTCTAGCGCATTCTCGTGTTATTAAATTTTAATTATAATTGTATATTTTTAAAAATGTAACCAAAGATCGTTTAATTCTGTTTGTTAGATAGATAAAGACACACCAAAAACGATCTTTCTTTCATATTCTTTAATTCTTATTTAGTGTCCCACACTATTTTTAAATTTTTGTGGGAGTTTTAACATGTGCAGTTAAAAAATTAACTGGCAACATCCACATCCGGTATATCGTCCAACCTAATAACCATTTGGACCCAACAAAATATTGATTCCCCATTAGGGGAGGGTCCACATTAAGTTATTAGATGATATGATGTCATTTGAATTGAAAATGTGATCGGATGACAAGGTTCAATTGAAAGAAGTAATATATGTCTTCCCTAAACGTACAATGAAATGAAAAAGTTCCAACAAAATTATATTATTTTTATTAAACGATTTGCCCTACCAACGATAACAAGACAATTATAAAAAAAATAAAAAAATTACAATAACCTCATTAATCGGAACTAGTTGAACATACTCATGGGAATCATATAGAAAAAACTATGGACAGAATTTATTTTGTTAAAATTTCACCAAATTTAATAAATACCTAGACAGTTTTATCCATGGCTCTTCTTTGTAAACAAAAAAATAAACGACAATCATGACACAGAAAATATTTTATCCATATACAAAGTTAACACTACGCCTACCTTTGGGTTGTATTGGTTTCAAAGATGGATTAGTTGTAGTCGGTTTTGTAGATACGCTAGCTGTGGTGGCTTGCGATTAGAAAAAGAAACACATGTTTAGATATTTTCTCTTTTTGATAATAAAAAAAATGATACTATACTTGATTGATATACACATTTACCAAAACTTAAAATCGATGGAATTAATTGTACAGAGATAAACAGATAAAAAGATGTTTTGAATCATATTTTCAAACTTACCACCAGTTGTCGCCCCAACCATTTCTAAAACGGTACCAGGTTTGACGTTTAAATTTTTCACCTCCAAAGACCGCTTCTGTTGATGGGCTGCCCTTTGGAGTCTCAATTGTTGTTCCATTTTTTCTTTAATCTCTTCAGGAGTAGCCTTGCCTGTCACTGCTACCTTGGATAGCTCTACAGTTTCAGAGGCAACCACCGGTCTTGCAGGAGGTAGATTTCCAGTGCGGCTCCTAGTTATAACTTGTTGGTTAGCCTTTTCGATCCTGTGATAAACACACGCGATGCAAGCGGTTAGTGGATGAAGTCACATGCAGGATGGTGCGAAACCAATAACAAAAAAGTAGCAAAATAAAAAACTGCTTAAAAGTTCTCCTACTTAAAGTAACCGAGACGTAAAATTTGAAATTTTCTTTTACAACCTCACTTTAGAATAACTTTCTGATAATGAGAAGCTGAAGTAGTCCTTGGATGTTTATTTTTTTTAATATAACATAGGTGTATAATTTGTAATTTTCTTTCTTATTTCATAGTAATTTCTAAAAGAATATTTAAAAAATCATCAATAGTTATGATACATATTTGCTTTAAACGTGCAATATGTTAGGACATTAGTTAATACCACCACCTAATATTGTGCTAATACTCACTTTTCTCCATACTGCTTGATCTCCCACAATTCAAGTTTCTCCTCGTCCACCCATTCTTCAGATACTTGTGGATCCATTGATTGTGGTGACTCAGGCCTCTTTCGCTTTCGTAAACCACTTCTGATAGATGTAACTTCCCTCACAGTTTTTGGCAGCTCTAAAGGAATAACAACCTTTCTTCTTAGATACTGTGTTTTCTCCATAAACTGTCCAATGTGCCGGTGTTTCAAGAGCTCCAATGAGAGTATTTCCGTTTCGGTTGTTATCTGGTGTTTTCCTTCAGCATTTGGTGGTTTTGTCTGCATATCATCCCACCTTAGACATGCCCACAGAGTCTTTAACTGCAAAGCAGCAGCCGCTAAAGTTTTCAAATTTACGGTACGGTATATCCAACATGTTTTAAACAGAGGCCTGGCACATGGGTATGGCCAAACAGAATTATTTTGTTTGGCGAGCATGTTGTATCCAGGAACTTGCATACGACCTCCATTTCTTGCTAATTTTCTGACATCATGGTTAGCAAGAACAAAAAGGGAATTTACTCCCCTTCTTGATTGAAAGGTGGAACAAGCGGGATACTTAATGATTTGACGCTTTCTGCGTTTCAAATCTGCCTGATTTAAGACTTTTTTTAAGAACATTTTTCCTTCAGTTGATGTCACTGAGTATATTCTTTCGCTGCCATCTTCTGCATGTTCAGTCTTCACGATTTTCTCTTCTCTCTTCACTCCAATTTTGTAAGCACAGAATCGTCTGTTTTGTTGTGCGCTATAAGTTACATTTTTTGCATTTAGTGTTTGTATGGTACGTCCAGTACCATTTGCCGAAGAAGCCGAGGTCACACTAACCACTTGCGTGGTATTTTGAGAGGCAGCTTCAGACTTTATCACACCATCCACTAAAGTTTTACTAGTTGTTATGGTCGTAGTAGTGGTAGTAATCACTTGAGTTACGTCTGATTTATTTGAACCAATGATCATCTCTTTGATTGCATCTGGGGTCATGTCTTTTACATCTACTTCATCACTTTCACTCTTTGTTAATTTAATTTTTTTGGGGCTTGGGGAGCTACCAATAACATCTATTTCCCCAGTGGGTGGTTCTTGCTTTAAGTCCATTAGACAATGTTTAGATTCAAGTTTTTCTTCTTTTACCTCATCTAAAATAAGCTGCTTGGCGGGAATGTACACCCCCTTGGTTTCTTCCTCCACACTTGTTGCAGACATAACAGCATCAACCAAATCCTTACATATGCTAGCTTGGCTTGGTTTGTCTATTTCCTTTTGTTTGTTATTAGTGTGAGGAGCTTTTAAACTTTGTTCCAAAATTGAAGAAGCTTTCTTAGCAGGGGTACCACTAATCTGATTAATAAGATTGAGTTTTCCTGAACTGGAATTATTTGTTGCCAGATTTGCCCTACGTAACAGCTGCAGTAAATCCCTTCGAATTTTTACTCTTTGAATGCAAAGTGGTGAATAACAGTTATTATCCAAATTGGTGCTATTACCAGAGTTACATCCTCTGCCATAACATTGAAAATCTTTAGCCAACTTGGATATAGATGTGTACTGAGTACGTAATGCATGAATTCTTTTTGCTATGGAATTAAGTACATCACGGTTTGCCACAGGAGTAGCTGAAGTAGAGGTATATGGAAGAGTCACTTTACCGCTCATCATGTTATTGAGTTGCTTATCAATGGCTTCTGGAGTAGAATCTTCTTCTACTTCTGCATCTGGATTCTCCTCCTCCTTTTGGACATCTTCGCTCTTGCTTTGTGCAATTTTCCGTTCTTCTATTACTTTTAACTGAACACGTCGGGATAGAAGTTCATCTAAAATACCTTTCTTCGCCACTTTTGGATATAATAACCGACCTGGAGCACTAAGCGCCTTTGAAACATCAATATGTTGAAACTCTGCGCACATTGGCACCACCTCTATGTTTCTTAAAATTTCAGGGATTTCAACTTGAGGTTCATTATTTGAAATATCCTCTTCACATTTCTCATTTGTTATTCTGTTCATCAAAAATTTGTACATATTGGGGCTTAATGCAACAATTTTTCTCTGCCCGTTTTTATCTCTAATTTGTATAAAATACCTGTGTGGGCCTGCAGCCAGACCCAATCGAGATGAGTCAATAATTCTATAATTTCTTGGTATCCTGATCCACAACCAACCCCATCTTCCATGGATTCGATACTCTTCTCCTTTCTGTTTCCACAATTGGTGCTTAAAACCCATTGTGTATTTTACATAACCACTGACAATAAGACGATTCCTTTCCTCTTCTTCTTCGCGTTCCTTTTTTTCACGTTTCTCAATTTTTTTGCGCTCTTCTCGTTCCTGGGCAGTCATTCTAACCAACTTGACATGACCCAATTGATCATGCCAGACATTGGCGAAACACACGGGCTTGATACATGCCTGCAACACAATTAGAGCTTTTGCAAAATCTTTGGGCTTCTGACATCCAGCAATAATATTCAGCCAGTGCTTCCTGACAAGATGCCAATTAGGATGCATGAAAGATGATGGAATTGCCTGTTCCAGATGTGATATAGTATGCCTTAATGTGTTCATAAGGAGAGTCTTTGCCCCATTCATGCCACCAATCCATTTGAATTCTGATGCAGTAGTCAAAGAAAATTTATGAGAGAGATGCCTCTTTTTATCTCTTTCCTCATTCCTTTGCGGTTTATTTAAAGCAATTAGGTTAGTTGTAAACTGGTTGACATATGACTTAAATGTATTTTCCATTCCTAATTTAAATAGATAAGTGCCATTTGCCATCTGGCTTGATCTCAGCCGAGTTATTCGCGATTCTTCTCGTTCTGATTCTTCTCGACCAAGAATTGGAGTACCTTTTCTCTTAAAATCGTCTACATTGGATGTACGGGTTGTCACACTACCCATTTTAGACCTTGTCGTAACATTTTCATTACCTCTATCGTCTTCATCATCAGTGCAATTCTTTTCTAATCTCATATTATCCTCGCAGTTTTCTGATTCAAGTGTAGTACTAACAATTTCGTTATGCACTACAGATGGAATATCAATTTGCATGGCATCCGCGCCCAAAATATCAGATGATTCCTCGTGCATCTTCGCAACCATGTCTTCCGCGATTTTTCTTTCCTTTTCTTTACTTTCCTCTTCTGATTTTTCATCTTTTTCTTTATTTGCTTTTAAGATTGCCAGATTTTCAACATCCAAATATGCCTTCTTGTTTCCTTTATACTGGTTGGTAAGTTTTTCAGTCAATTCCATTTGCCTTATAATTTCACATTTATATTCCTGAAGTTCCCTTACCAAACGGGATTCCATATCATCAACATCAAACACCTTTAACATTTCTTTAAACTGAAGTGGTGTTGAATAGTACCATACTTCTCCATCACTGGCTTCCCTGTTTAAAAGATGATACCTTGATTAGTTTTATTATTACAGCAACCTAGAAGCAAATAAAACAAAACAACATAGTAATTGCTTTGATTCAGATAGTTTTAACGCGCCATTTTATATTTTAAATGCAAAAGACTAATTCATTTTAACACATTGGAAAGTTTTCAATTAAATTCGTGTTTGATGACCTATGTTGTAATCAATATCGAATATATTTGGTATATTTGGCACTAAAGAAAGAAAAACATTTAATTAATGAATTAATTAATTATAAATCATATAATTTACATTAACAATATACATTACTAACTGGAATGTGTAATAGGTTAGTATAGGTTGATTATTTTTTTTGAGAAAAACAAAATAAAAGAGAGAATGCACGAATTAATTATTTATGTTGGTATAAACAAGTTAAGTATTTTATATGTTTTATTATGTAAGTATGTATTTCATACACCATTGTGCACTAAAGGTTTGTTCTGTTATATATTTATAACTTACTAAAATGTTTATTTTTCATGTGGTTTGATCTTATTTTTTTTGACAAAGTAGATTAATAGGGTCCCATTTAGTCACTAATAAATAAAAGCAAAAAATTACAGTAAAAAACAGTTTCCTAACACCACACAAGCTCAAACTCTTTCAAAAATAAACTGAAGTGGTTCGACTTAGTCACTAGTAAATAAAAACGTGTTCCTTGCAACAAATAACTGTTCACACAAAAATTGTTGTTCCAACTGAGCAAATATTGTCACTTACTAACAAAACAGAGTCAAAACTAACTTGCTAATAAGAGTTGCAATTTTACCATCCCAAATAATACAATAATTCCAAAATTCTTAAAAAATTACTTACACGAAAACTCTTCTGCACAAGAAAAAATACTTTCTTCCATGTCTGTCATGTCCTAAAGGCTCCTGCCTAGACAACTGCCCCTGTTTCTCCGAGTCGAGTACACAGTCTACAACCCCAGACACTTTGTGAGACCGACAAATACCACATTGCCAATCCTCATCTGGAACATTCACTAAGGGGGGATCGACACACTCCAAATGGTAAACTGCTGGACATGTCTCGCAACATAAAAGATCTCCAAGCTTGTGGCAGACTCGGCAATGATCATCATAGTGCATGGGCACTAAAATTGAAATAGATGCAACATAAACACAAATATTCCGTTGTTGTATTTAAAATCCACAGAGTGCTAAAGTACTGAGATTATATGGTTTTCTTGAGCCTCTTTTATTGGCCCTGAGCTACTAAATTTTTTTTGTCATTCCTTTTTTTCACTTTTTTTAGGTTTAAATATGAAAAATCCCAAGTAGCCACACTTTTTACAAGTTTGATTTGATTACATTTTGTCTAAAGTACAATGGTTTTGTTTCCTTGTCTATCTCAAAACAATTATTTGAAAAACTGATTAAATAATAATCAGAAAACTCTGAACAAATACAACACTTTTACATAACTCATTTTGAATATTCATGAGGAAAAATATAGCAATTTAAATTAATTCAAAAACCAATCAATCTAAACCTTTATTTTGAGAGATGCAATGAAAATTACTACCAAAATCAAATATCTAATATGAATTTTACCTTCACTCAATAAATCCTCTCTTACAGGATTAGTAATTAAAAACTGATCAGTCAAGAATTGCAGGACTTTAATTCTATCTTCCAAACATGAGAATGGGTAATCTGTAGTATTCAATATGCTGAGTATTCTCTGATCAAAACTTTTGTCACTTTCAACATATGATCTTAAAACTTCTGGATATGTGACATAATCAATCAAGAATAGTGTTATATTCACACTATCTTTTTGATCTAAAGGTCCAAAATGTGTTTGCTGCGAATCTTCCTCCCTAAGTAATGCCTTAAGCAGCATTATATGAATCTCTGCCAGCAAGCTGCTCTGATCTTCACACATTATAGCTGCACAGAAATCTTCTAATCTGAATGGAGACAATCTTACCAGATTCCTAAAGTGCCTTAAAACTTCATAGATGCTAATGACCTCCATTATTCGATCTTTTGGAACTACTAAATCATCTGAAGACTTTGGTAAATGTAAAAAAGGTATTTCACGATTTTGCAACCATAACGGTTCAGGAGTAGGAGCCCGGTTGGCATTAACATTTGGTTTACGAGGAGTTCCACTCATAGTACTAAAACTACTTAGAGAAAAATCACTGTCACTACTCTGACCACCCACAGAATCTATTGATTCACTCTCACTTATACCAAGTTCGTCTTCAATCTCACTTTTGTTATCGCTTGATTCATCCCCAAAATCAGAACCATAATGATATTCTGAATCATGGTAATCACTATATGAAGGGTTGTAACCCCTCCGTTGGTAAGCTGAGCCAACATAATTAGTTTTTCGACTTGCTCTGTGTCCATCTTTTCCTCTGATTCGATTGCTGCTCCTTCTATGGCTTTCACTATCGTGAGGGGAAGACGCCCTCGACGCTGATGGAGTGCTATATTGCGAATCAGACTCCTTTTTTTGATAATTTAATAAATATTTTGGTTTTTTTAGAAGGTGATACTGAAATTTCCTAGCTCTTTCAGCTACTTGCACTTTAGGGGGGCGTCCCCGCTTCTTCATGCCTCTTGCTGACATTGTTTTCAAACTGTCAATCAGATGGGTAAATGCACGTGGTAAATTACAAAAACAAACTTGTATACAAATACGAATGTCAAAACTTTACTTTAAAACCGTTCATGGTCGTCCCTCATACTTTTCGCCATAGCATGGGCTACGTCACGTGACAATTAAAATATTTTTCATTTTAGCCGTTTAATGTAGGAATCTCTCGAAAATGTAGCTAAAAATCGACCACAATCCAAAATATTCCTCAATCGTTAAGGTATAATTGGTTCATTTTCACATAGGACGCACAAAAATGATAAACGACGCGAACCCAAAGCAAAAAAGAACGATAATTAACTAACGCAACATCGAGCAATGCCATTGGTCGATAGAAAGGCCGCCATGACAACTTGCAACAAAATTTTCCGTATCAGTCCTATTTACTATTTACGCACTACTTATTATCACCAACACAACCTACGCGAAAAATCCTGGATAAAATTACCCTCTCCAAGAAAGTTAAAGGAAATATTTCGAAAAGAAATAACTGACGCAAAATTGTTCAAGTTACAAGCTTCCCACCGACAAACACAGTACAGATAGAGGTCGGTAGTGTAGCCAAGGAATACAATTTATTTTTTCTTGAAACAACTAAAGAGATTAAATTTGGTCATTAATTTTGGATATGATTTTTCATAAAATTTTGATTATAATCGGATGATTTTTTCAAAAAAGTTCAAAAAATTATTTCGAGACTTCCGGAAGCCGCGCGCAACCGGAAAGAGAGATAGACGCTGATAAAAAATGGCTGCTCATTATCGACTCGTTTGGTTTGTAATAAAACGAAAATATTTCAGAAAAGAGCAATTAACAATAAAAAATTACTTTGTCGGTGAAGATGGAGTTATATATTTAAAAAAATTAAATTAAAAACACTTTTAACTTACAAACACATTATAGGAAAATAATTTATTGAGATATTTAACTACGTCTATGGATGAACGTTTCACAGAGATAAAGAAGATCTGCAGCACTGAGTGACAGCCAAAAAAGTTAATTTGCCATTTTAAGAGCAACTTAAAAGACCGAAAAGGTTTGTTGTACGATGAACGGACCTTTAAGAATGTATAATTTACCACAAATTATACAAGACGATTTTCCCGTCCAACTTCCAAAATGTATGTATACGTTAAAAAATGTTCACAGCCCAAGAGATCAGGCTGATGGCTTGGTAGATCACGTTTCTTCGTTGGACAATAAACTGGATATTTCCGACAAGGTTAAGCAGTTTTTAAAGGTTTTTCAACATTTTATTACGGTTATTACAATTCTGCGTGTCCTTAACAGTTTTTTAGCTGTTTAATCTGCACCTACTTACCAAAATCTCAATAAAATCGCCCTGCATGACAACACACTTATCAATTTTTGTGAACAACTGTCAAATAAGCGAAATAACTAATGAAAATAATGGTGGAACTATTTTAATGTCCTGTTGGCCAAGAGGCACATAAGAGTGCTGTCGCGAAAAATGAGCATTCAGTGATCCCCTTTTTTTAAGCTTTGGAAGGGTTCTCTAATACATTAACATGGTTTTGCATTTATTTTATGTGTAATTTGCTCTGGCATTATTGTAGAAAATCCAAGTAAATGCAGAAATGGCTGATTTGGAATCTAGGCAAAACAACATTCTCCATCAACTTGCAGAACTCAAGAAAGAAATTGAATCGCTCACTAGCAATGTAAGAAATCAACAAAACGCACCAAGAGCTAATAATTCATTTGTACCACAAGAAGAACCAATTGTGATTGTAAGTTAAACACAATTTTTACTTTCAAATTTGTTAATCAATCGTCTCTATTGTTTCTGTATACTAATGTCCACTATCTATAAGTAATAGTTTTTTGTCAATTGATTATTCAGATTGAAAAAACTCAGAACAAATAATTCTTACAATATGTTATTTTGTTATGTTTCAGTATAAAAATAGGTAAAGTAAAATAGTATTTAATGTAATGTGATTTTTTACTGCAGAGTAAAATTACATTAAAAACCTTTTTTTATTTCAGAGCAATTTTCCTCAGAGTGTAGTGATTTATGCAAATCCTATGTCTCCACCTTTCTCTTTGGTATCTATCCAGAGACTTCTGCAAGATAACTTACCTTTGGCTGTCACTTCTTACTTGCATTCCTCAGTAGGAGTTCTGCCACAAGAGGCAAGGTTGCTGGCCGATACTTTAACCAGCTTTAAACCCAAGCTTGGTGTACCTGTGATTGATGTTCGACTTATTTGGAAAGAAAGTAAGATATTATTTAAAATATTACAGTTATATGGTATATCTCATAAATATGTTCAATTTGAATCTAGACAATTTATACCTTGATTTGATTGATACATTGGACATTTTGTTTCACTTAAATTTGTTCAAGTGATACATACACTTCCTGCCGTACACATACTGCCGTAAAAAATTGAATTGGCATCAGATTTTTAGTATTGCTGGAACAGTTTTTAATTTTCCCAAATAATTTTTCGATACAACCATCTATAGAACAGGCCATTTTAATAAACAAAATGGTATGCAATACAACATAGCCAACACAGCACAGACACATACTTAGTACATAGTACATTGTGGATAAGAAACCATATTTCTATTTGTCATTGAGATTTAAGGTAAAAAATTTTATTACTAAAGTAGTCAATTGAAAACTAAATTATTTTCATATTTCCAAGGTGGTCTCCAACAAGTGTGACTCTTACCTAAGAATAATATATGCTTTTTGCGATGAGACCAAATGTGTTAAAATCGGTTCAGTCATTTAGGAGTTACAGTTTATTTAAAAAAAACAATGAATGGCACCTCACAACTTATTCTTGTTAGGTAGGTGAAACAGTGTTAAACAAAAATCACTCGAGTAAAGTTTGGCTTCAAATCCCATTCATTTGTTTGGCACTTTCACCAGGTGGATTTCGGAGGAAAGACACTTTAACAATTTCCACGATCTTTTGACTACTTTGGTAATAAATCTTCTTATCAAAAGTATTGAAGACAAATAGTTTCCCAGATACAGTATTGTGCATGCTTATTTGGCCATCCTGTAGATAATAAGTATGGTGGGCATTCGTAAAGATAAATGTGAGAAGGATCTTGCATGGACGCAGATTTAGAAATCGATGAAACGATTAACAGCGTGCGTTTAGTAGAAAACAGATTACTTACAGTAGGCTTAATATGGAAGGTTATATTTATTTTAATTTCAATTGGACATAATTGAATACTTAAAAATCAACTAAAAAAGTTCATTGTATACACCAGTGAGTTCCTTTTCTACATTCTAAAGTACACCCTTTACCACTTATATAAAGTATACGAAGGTGTACTTTCCAGTAAAGCGAACGAACATTCTATAAAAAAAAAACTATTATTTGACTTAATTTACTACAATATTATCATACTTGCTAATGAGTTCTGTGAATGATTGATTTGATTGTTAAAAAATTGTTAACTTAGCGTAATATATTCAGAAATTGCAAACCTAAAGTTGGGAACAATTCGACAGTAGGAACACTGGACGTCTCTTTTTAATATCCATAGGAGACGTCTATGAAATAGCCATGAAAATATGTACGAAATGGACCAAAAAATCGACGTCCATTCGACGCGTTGTGATGCATTGAGCTAAAGTATCTACCACAAGAGACCAAGAAGTTAACCACAAAATTAAAAATGCGTGTGAATATAGAATGTTTTTTGTTTCAATTCTATACAAAAACAAAATTGGTTGCGATTATGTAAATGATTTTTTCGTTCTAGTGGGTGTAAAAAAAAACAGTAGTGTTATAATTTGTACATTATATTGCTCGATAAGTTTTAAAATTATTTAATAATAATTGTATTTGACATTGTGCCAAATAATGATAAAAATAGTTTTGGTTAGTTTACATATTTCTCTAAAATAACTTTTTATTATAAGTAATCTATAGATGTTTTCATTTTGTGAAACGTAGCTATCCCTTAAATTTTCCTTCACAAGATAATTTTTGTTACAGTTAACTCCAATGCATCAATCATAATCGCACATAATCCAATCCTGGGCGAAGTAAACATCTTGAGGTTCCTATCGAGATTATCAAACTCAAAACTAAATTACGACTGCGATCCGAACTCCTACGAAATCGACTCATTACTTGATGAATGTTACTTATTACTGGAACTTAAAAGGAAAACTGACAGAAGTAGTGTCCTTCAATCTTTTAAGAAGTCGTTGGGCAAGGCGCAATGGTTAGCAGGGAGGAGTGAGCTTAGTGTTGCAGATATTGCTGCTTTTTCTGCTATAAAACAGTGTAATGTTTCAGGTGACTTAAGTGGTAATTTAAGCAAGTGGTACGAAAGGTGTCAATTATTACTTACCTAGCGAAATAAATTTTTTGTTTATTATTTTTGCCTACTTATATCAACTTACAATTCAGGATTGAGAAAGTTTGGTTAGTGATCCAAAATCATTATAATCATCTAATTAAAGAAACTGCCATTTTCACACATTTGATCTTATTCAAATAATCATGATCTTATATTTAAATAGTTTCTCCTTGTGTTTAACATTGATACATTATGAAACTGTTCACTCTATGCTTTGAATTCTTACTTGATTTTAAAAGTATGTTTTTTCGTCTAGAAATTTTATACATGTGATATCCATGATTTCAGTTATTGCAAGCCCAAGTCGGTTTAATCATTATTTATGTCCAGTTAATCTTTTTGCTCTGAACTCGGACCAGTTGAACCTATACTTGTTTGCTCCAAGTGTTTTAATTAATTATTCTGTGACTGTCGTTCCGCGAATTTTATATTTAGTTTTTTCATTTGCTGTTTTGTGTAAAATGTCTGATATATATGATTATTGCAGTAGAACAAATATACAAATTTCATTTGATAATACTTCTTTTGAAATGTGGCTGTATTGCAGAACCTTAAAAGTACACCCTCCACAGCTAGAACTACTAATGAGAATTATATTAAGAATAGCACAAAACAGGAAATTAATGATTACAAGAAAACGAAGGAAAACGGCTTATCTTGGCCATATTCTAAGAAAAACTACTGCAGACTATCCTGCTGGATGGACACTTACTAATAGTAGTGTTTTAACTCAAGCAGTTATTATTAACATTATTCTTTCTTATTAACATTATTCTTTCAAGAATAAAATGGCAAGACGACGCGAACTGAACTCCCGCCTCTCCTATGAAGAACTTTTCTAAATTTTTGCGGGGCTATGGGCAGAAAGATGAAATGTAATATATAAAATATATTTAGATTCCAATTGTTTAAGTAATAATTGTGACAATATTAATAGGTTACTAATTTTTTTATTTGTTATTATCTTTGTTCGTATGCTCTGCAGTGCTCAAAGGGCGGGATATTTTGCGTAATTCAAACATTTTGTTGAAGATTACATAACGTCACAAAATTTAATTAACACTTCCAAATGGAGTTTTCCTCTTTTATAATGCCCAAATAAAAAAAAAAAACGTGTAACGGAATAGGTAAAATTTATTTCACTTCTTGTAATACCTGTCTAAATTTGTCTAGGAAAATATTAGCGTGATGTTCTTGGAATGTCAGTGACGGTCGGAGCCTTACCGAATGATCTCCGCACGATCCAGCAATAACGCCTGCAACATAAAAATCAGTTTTCATTCATGTAAATAATACCGCCCACGAGGACTAACCCTTAGCTTTTAATTTGACTAAAATGTTGTCTCTCAGCTTCGTGTCAATTGCGTTTACTGCCAAAAATGTACCCCGACCTCTTACGGAATTCAACAAAGAGGGATTTTCCTTTTCCAGATCAAGCAATCCAGCTTTCAGCACGTCGCCGCTTTTTTGAACCTGATGCAAAAGATTCTCTTGTTTTATAACGTTTAAGACGGCCTCCAAAAGAAGTAGTTTTCCTGGATCTCCTATCCATGTGTTGAATATCCTATAGGGCTGCTTAGGTCTAAAAAGTACATTAGAATAATTAATACTTCAGTCAGATATTTTTTCTACTCTCAACATTTAATATCACAGAAAACTTTTAAATTATCAAAAAGTTATGTTTATCTTTTATTAAGATAAAATAAGATGCATGGCAATGGTACTTCGCTAATATAAGATTACTTTTTGTTCAAGGCAATCATCTGCTTTTGCCAATCTAACTAATTAACTAATTGGTAAAAGGTATCAGAACTTTGAGAAGTATGATATCCCAAAAAAATTCGCTTGAGCCAGCAGACAACAGATAAATAATATGATAAAAATTATATTCTAAATACCTGCAATGAAGAAAATCGAGAGGTCGATGAACTTATGTTTGAGGCACTGTCAGGCCATTGACGCAAAAACCGTGTGTGATCAAGAGTAGAGCGCAGCAAATTAAAGAAAAGCACACAATCTGAAACCATGCTACCAGAACGTCACATATTTTTGTAATTGTTACAATTAAATCTATTTTCAAATAGTACGCTAAAATTAAAGAAACCGCGTTATATTTCTCAACAGTCATATAGCTACAAGCGATATAGAGATCTGATACAAGCAGTAATTTTTTGTTAGCAAAGCACCAAAATGTATAACTGTAAAAAAATGTTATTTATGCATAAAAATAAAAGCATAAATAATGCCTAATTTAATTATTTAAAACTGTATATGGCGTTCAATTAAAAGAAACATATGAACACGGGACACACTAGATAAAAGTAACTGCACTACTGTATTCTACGAAAAAAGTTCTATAAGAAAGGGCTTTCTCCTTTTCAGTAAGTTGAAAGGTTCAATTTCTATCTCATCTCATAAACAAAGTGGGTTATGAAAATTGTATGGGCGACATCTTTAGTATCATAAAAAAGTAGCATAGTGCCTCGAAAAAATCAACAGTTTTTAAAAATAAGCGAGATAAGAAAAAGTACAAATTCCGGCAAACTGGATCATGCGGCGGCGACTTTGAAATGAACTTGGCGGTTGTGAAAAGGAACACACATCAGTTTTTAATAAAATTTTACAGATGAAGAGTCTAATGGTTACCTATATATAATATATTTAAAATCGAGAATATAAGGGAATCGCAGTAGCTTCTGGTGTTCCATTTAGAAGCATTTGAGGATTTACAAGTAGTGGTTTTCACTGCTTAAACTGTTGTGTTAGATTTATACTGAAAGAAAAGTAGACACACTGTATATACCTACCTCATTTCTAAGTTGTGGAAGAAGCCCCCAGTGAGCATTTTTTTGCTGAATGTCACTATATCGGGTGGAGATTCCAATACAAAATGCTCGTGGCACCACATTTTTCCGGTGGCGCCACATCCTGTTTGTACTTCGTCTATCAAAAGACCTGCTCCATTGTGCTTAGCGATTCTTTGAAGTTGCTATAAAGCAAAAATCGTAAATCCTAGGGAATAATAAGTTAAATCAATTCATCGTGTTTATAATGATTGACAGATAAAATAATGTAACTCAGAAACAACCAATTGAGATAGGTATTTTATAATGACGAGTTGCAATAAAATTTCTTGAACATTGTCTAGTTTACTTGAAAAAATTCCGGAGAAGCTTCGTTGTCTCCACCTTCCGATTGGATAGGTTCTACGACTATACCAGCAACTGGTCTGCCTTTCTTTTTATACTTTTCAATTAAATCTTGTACTTCGGCCAGACACTGTCTATCCTCAGCTTCATTGTCCCGTTGGTGTTCGTGTAGAGGATACTTATATCTGAAAAGTCGAGTAATAATTTATTATTTTCGATTTTGGATGCCCAGACAAAAATAAGTTATGGACATTTTAATTTTCAAATTAAATTTCATTCTATTTGATAATTAAGAGTTTCTACCAACTTGGTTAGTTTACAAGCAAAAATTATATGTAAATGCATTTTTTTGTTTTACCGAGTTGGTATTGTAAGTACTTAATAGATGATTTTTGGAAACTGCACAGTCAAAATAGTGAAGATCACATCACACCAGGAATTAAGTGATTTATTAATAAAAAATATTATATGTACCCAATCTAAATCATCAGCCCTTTTAGTTGATTGCATTGCTTACCGAGGAAAATGCGCAATGGGCCAATCCAGGGAAGGTACATCTAACTTATGAATTGCCTTAGAATGCGTGGTGGCAAGAGTGGCCATAGTTCTTCCGTGGAATGCGCCGTGAAAAGACAGCAAGGTCAGCTTTGGAGCACCAGGAGGTTGGTTGATCATACATGACGTTTTTTCTAGTTCGCTGAAGTCCACATCCTCACCCCTTTCGCGTCCACGGTAGTGAATGAAGAGAGCTTTATAGGCGTTTTCGTTGGAGCACGAGCCACACATCATCGTCATGACTTGCGACAGTCCTGGCGAAACTGAAAGTAATACACTTCTAAGCTTTTCTGGCCAGTAGTCGCCGGGAAATACACCAAGAGCCGGACGGTTTACAAGTGTCTTCTGTAAATTAAGAAATAAATAAATTTAATAAACACTTTTGAAATAATATTAAAATTATAATAATAAATATAAGACCATTATTGAGAAAATGAATGTTGGATTATCTAGAAAAATAGTTGTCCTAAGCCATAAATGTATCTTACCAGTTTGTGCTCATCTTTAAAGACCTTGAGAAGCTCCGGGTGATTGTAACCTATCGGAATAGAGGAAATTTGAGTAAAAGCATCTAGAAATATATTTTCATCGACGTCGATTAAGTAATTCCCAATGGATTTGTCATAATTTCCAAAAAGCTGAACCGACCCGCTTTGCTGAAACAAATTATTTCTATAATAGTAACGACTTTCGCCTAAACTATTTTAACAGTCTCTAAACCACTGACATATTTTTATATTTGTCCGGCATTCAGTGAAAAATTATTTACACACCAGATCCAAAGCTGCCTTCTAACATTATAAAAAAAAACCATATTCTTTTAGATTTATTCTTCTAATGGTTTATTAACTTACATTAATAGAGTTTAAATCATCAATGAGTTTTTGCGATTTTGGTCCGGGAACCGCTGTAATTACGCTGGGTTCCTTCGGTTCTCCAGGGACTAAGGATGTAACTGCGCGCGTATTTCCTGAAAGTGAGAAATATAAATGTAATAAAATAAGAATAAAATCGTCTAAAGAAGAAGAAGAAGAAATTGTTTTGCCAAAATTGCAAATTGAACTACTGTATGAATTCAAAAAGTGTGCAATTTAGATTTGACATGGAGTTTTCTCTTTTTTCCTTCCTTCCGGACTTACCTGTATTGTATATACCTTAAAAATTTAAAAAACATACAGTGTATTTTCGCCATGGGGATCTTATATTATATTTGAAAATTTTACTTTAGGATCTGCATGTCCAACAACTTGATCACAGCCGGGATGGAATTGGTTGAAATTAGTAGGTACAAATTCCCTTCTTTTTTTAAATTTGTTTTTAGTGTTTTGTTTGATGTGCCACTTTGTTTAAAGAATATTTTATAGTATACTCATAGATCTGCCCAGTTCTTGGGGTGAGTATCTACAGGTTGGTATTTAGCGTCGCAATATAAAGAGTGTTCCGCTAGAAATTTCATCCAATTGTTATGGGAAAGTGATAACTAGAAATGGTTGAAAATTGGGGTCAGCCATCCATTTTAGTTATAATTTCAGTTATCCTGACGGTGTATGAAAACGGACATGTATCTAAGATATAATGTATCTATCATCAAAAATCAACACGGCCCGTGAGTAATGCTATAATCTATATATTACAAACATTGCTTACATTTAAAATGTACTGGATGCCATGCAATGACGATAATGGTTATTATGGGAATTACTAACTGGGCATTTGTTATACAGGCCTTTTTCTACCAAGAAAGCAACTTATCGGAAATTATAAAGAATTCCGTATGCGAAAAATTGACTTCGGTCTGCAAATATTTTTAAAATGGTGAAACTTGGCTATAGCCATGACATATATCTGAAACTTACTGGGGCATTGCATAATGCAATAAAATAAACGGCGCTCCTCTTTTTCAAAATTTCTTTATGTTTAATTTTTATCTATAATTTATACTTTTCCAATTCCAATCTCCAAATAAAAATTTAAATTTGTGTAACGGCAAACAAAATAATGTAATCTAATCTAATCGCTGCTTTAAAAAAGTGTAAAGCCCGCGGAATGCTAAAATATGTTCCTAAACATTTATAAATAGCATACCATTGCGTTTGCGTGCGTTTGTTATTCGATGCATATTTTAAAATTTCAGTCTGCGTTACTAGGTAAGTTTGTTTCACCATCTGCACCTGGTTGCTCATAGAATGGGTCCAAACTTACCTGCCCTACCGAATGTTTTCAATACACCGACACTCCGTGACCACATCTTCTCTGTCCAACAAACAACAGGGATCTAATACCTCGTGATAAAAAGGAGGTGGGGATACTAAGTAAAACCGGTTAACTCACTTTGCGTTTAATACATATTCAACTTGTTAAAATTCAATTTAAATTTGTTGACGATTCATTTGATACGATTAACTAAAGCAGTGACAATAATATTTGTGGAAGTAGTATTAAGTATGCAAGCGACGTTGTTCCCAAGTCGACTAAATTTAGATAAATAATATTGTTATCTGGATGTCATGCTTACTAAAATGGTTATCAACTTAACATAACAAAATTCAAATTAAACTGAATCCTTTTAAAATTTATGTTCCTTTAGAAAGGCTCTGAAAAAAAGATATTGAGTGTGCCAAAAAGTCATGCAGCTTAGATAGCTGAAAAGTGGATATTAGAAAAAACTTTGAAGCAGAGTTGCTTGGTTATAACCACCAGAGCGGATAGAATTTAAAACAATTGTAATAAAAAATAAAAAGCTTCCTTGCAATCACATCAGAATAAATTAAATAATTTGAAATCAGGATGCAAATTATATTTTTCTACTCCCTACTTTACTCTCTACTCTACTTTCTACTAATATACTATTATGCAACAGTATTTTAATGCATGTTCAGAATTTGACAAAAAATGTCAATCCGTTCTTTCAAAAATTTTTTTTTTCCATTTGTTAAATTATTTGACAGTTTTAATGAAACAAATAGCAAAGATTTCAAAATATTATTATAGTAAAAAGTTGGTTTTTGTTGAATATTATATTACCTTGAAGAAGTATAAGTAATTGTTAATATGCAATTAAATTCGATTTCTAGAAATGTTTAATAGAAAAGTTTTACAAAAAATATATACAGGGTATCCCACCAGGGTGATGATATAGCTTGGGAGTGTGTTGGTGGACTGATTTCAAGTTGAAAATGTCAAAGATATGTCCAGATCGCTATTTTAACTGAGCTAGAAGCATTTTAAATTTGAAAGACAATTTTAGTAGAAACACCTTTATTTTTTATATTATTATTTTCTATTTATTTATATTTTATTTTGACTAAGTTGTTCAAAATGTCCACCCAATTGCTGTATACATAGCCTGGCTTTTCTCATAATCGAAGTGGTAGCTCTGCTCACACTTTTTAGTCTTCCCCATAAAAAATAATCAAACTGTCAGGTCACCTTGCTGTGCAAGGACTTGCCGAACCTATTCCAACCCACCAGTTTGTATAATTTTGATTAGGAAATTTTGTTATTTGTCTACCAAAGTGAGGAGATGCGGCATCGTGCTGAATCCACATTCGTTGTCTTACATTAAGAGGAACATCATCCAGTAGTAATGGAAAATTATTTTTAGCGAAACGTAAATAACGAATGACCGTCAAACGTTCTTCAATTACCAATGAGATTATCAATAATTCCACACCAAATATTGACCGAAAATCGATCTTGAAAATGAGATTTCGGAGTTTGTCGTGGATTTTCAAGTGCCCAACAGTTTGAATTCCGTGTGAATGAGGCTTCATCACTAAATAATATTATCTGACAAATCCTTTGATTTCTCAAGCGACTAAATTTAAGTCTTGAAGCGTAATCGGAAGGTTTCAAAGCTCGTACAGGTAAGATGTGGTACAGGTACAAATCGAAATTGTGTAAAGTTCTCCATACTCTCATCCGGCCTATGTTAAGTCTATTACCTATTCTTCGGACACTAGTAGAAGGTTGAGCATCAATCGTATTAAGTATTGCCTCTTCTTGAGCAAGTCCTGTTCAACGGAATGTTCAGAAGTAGCTGTAGGAGACTTGCCCGTTTCTCTCAAACATCGATAGACATTGCTAAAAACAGTTCTACAAGGCACTCTACGAGCGGGAAATCTTAATATTCCTGAACTGCCGCTCGTCCGTTTCAGTTTCACAATCCATAAACAAAGTAAATGTCGGTGTATTCTTCATTCGAAAAAGTAAACATTGTACCTTGAAGAGTATTTTAATGTAATAGACGAAAATAAACACGCAAAATTAATTTAATTGACGTTTACTGCCACAATACATAAGCACTTCGAACATACGGAGCGCGAGCATTGAAGATGCCAAGTCAGATTTTGGCGAAACGTCTGCAGGATTCCAGTCGGAGTTCAACGAGCGAACGGATGATATCCCGGAATATAGTGTCATCATATATATATATATATATATATATATATATATATATATATATATATATATATATATATATATATATATATATATATATATATATCATTATTTTCGTAAAAATAATAGATGGAAAAAAGTTTAAAAAGTTAATAAGCAACCCAACAATGATAGTTTAAACATAACCGGAATTCTGAAGATGATCGCTAATACGTTCGAAGCGTTGCATTACAGACCCATACTCATATATATCGTTAAATTTGTCTTTGAAAGGACTATCCAAAAATGCAATGAAATGTAGGGTGTTCTATTTAAAAAAATTACCTTGTTTTACCACCACGATTAGGAATGAAAAAAGATCATTTTAACAGAAACAACTTTTGTATTTAATTTTTTTTTGTAACACCAGTAGGTTTCGAGATAAGGTATACGTCCCTCTTAAACGGACCACCCTGTACACACCAGACGTAGTTTTATGACATACATGAGGACCTTTTATTTTCTGATTCACAAATTCCTTTTTAAATACATCAAAATATTTTTACACGAGAATCGTTGCGTGACGTGTGACGCGACTGTCAGAATTAACACACTTCAAAATGTTATGGCTAAAATCTAGTGTAACGATTGTTCCTAAACCCGCCACTCAATTATCGGAAATGTCCAAAGTGGCTCACGGTCGTGGGTGTTTTTTCACATGTTTGATCCGTTAATAACTGAATATTTTAATATTAAAGACCTCTCTTCACAAAAATCTGGTTCAACAAAGTTAAACTATTTTGTTGTATAGTATTTAAAAATTGAAGGAACTGCAGATCAACAACAAACTAGTTAATATTTTCAGAATGTCCCTACAAAACTTTTATTTTTGAAACATCTCGTGTGCTTTCTCTAGAATACGCTTTTATACGACTAAGGCAGGATAGTCAATAGTTCATGAAATGGCAAGAGGTAGTACACCAACGTGGCATTAGCTTCATTATATTTAGAGGTGTTGCGATTTGTGATTTATGATTAAGGACAACAATACTCCGGTCTCTTTGAAAGATACTTCTATTTATAGTGAGCCACTCGGTATGTTAGCATTAATAACCACAATAACATATAGTCATCTAGTTCATAACAACAATCACAAAGACGCAATATTCGCAGAAGGGAAATCTCATTTTAAATTTAAAATGGCAGTGTTTTTAAATATAAAGAAAAATAACTGAACAAATTTTACAGATAATCAAATTAATATGTTAGTTACAATATATTTCTAATTTTATAAAATGGAAGACTTTGTTAAAAGATTTCGTTAACAAAAATTATTCTTTCCTAATAAACACACAATTTCGATTGCGTTTTCGCATTTCGAGTTGATTTTGTGAATCTAATGGTCCACTCATAAAACATTACATTTCACGCATAACTTTTTGGAAGCGATCCAAAAACACAGCAGCATGGACTCTTGAAAAGGTCAATGCCGGTCTCAAACGAATCGTTTGGGGATTGCATCCCCCGCAAATGACACCTGCAAAATTAAATTATAAGTTAATAAATTGAACACACTTATTTTTGATTTTGATTAAACCATGATATCAAATAAAGCAAAACATTTTGATGATTGCCTTACCATGGAGTTTACTCGAATCAACACTTCAATTCAATTTATTAGGGCTATAACTCTGGCATAACTGGAACAGGTGGATTTGTAACCACTATGGAGTTTCGTGCCTTAAGAAATGACGTGAATCAATTAAATTTTTATATATGATTTCCGTTATTTATTTCTTGACTTTCCTTTTAAACAATCAAGCAAATTCGCATAGATTTTGATATTACAAAATAATTTTAATCGTCTTAATTCCTGGTGTAAATACAACTTTCCTTTGAACGATGTAAACTGCAGCGTTATGAGCTTTACAAGGAAGACCCATCCTATTCTTGACAACTAAGAAATTGATAGTATTACCCTCAGGCCTTTGTTATAGATCTAGGTGTTTCTTTTGATGCGAAACTAAGTTTAAACCAGCATGTAAACAGCATTTTCAAAATTTCGTACAGACAGCTAGGTTACGTGATTCGCAATTTCTCTTACTTTTCTAACGTATCGGTGCTTATTTTTTCTAATTCACCAGCCAGGGTACCATGTTTATGCAGCTACAGTTTAAAAATCAACGAGAACGCTTGAAATTCCTAGTTTTCTTCTCGATTCGTTTCCGGTCTTGAATCTGGCGAATCGCAGAGAAAGCCAATCTTATGCATGCGCAATTTGTAACTAACGCTTGTACCGTATTAAATCGAGAAATCCTGCAGCAACTCTGTGGTCAGTTCCTTAAATCGAAATAATAATTTTAGTAATTTTTTAAATCTCATCAAAACATTTGATTTTTTGTTGCGGTGGACAAAGTTAGCTAACACTTGAGTCATGTTTAGTCACCTAATTCGAAATAATAATTTGGTAAATCGGCTGCTGAGTGATTTTTATTACACATATTGAATCGATTGTAATGAACTAAGAAATTTAAATTTATTTCGCAGCAAATTTAACCCTTTGATCTAAAAAAACTCGAAACAACCACAACTAATGAACACAAATAGAGAACTACTTAAATTGAGTAATACATTTTTGGAACGAAACAATTACAAAATGCGACGTGTGTGTGTGTGGCTGAGTTGCTTATTAATTAATAGCAACTGGGTATTTCCTCAAGAGATTAATCTGAATATATCAAATTTCAACTAATATTAAAGTGAAGTTAGGCCTATCTCGATAAAATAAGAACCTGACTTTTATCCGCCAAAACCTTCCGCAGTAACATGTCACACCTGTTACAAAAAAAATCTATATTCACAGAAATCGCGAAACTTCCATATAAATAATTTTGTGAAACATTTTTGTTAATAAAAGTTAAAGGTAAAATAAAAAGAGGGTAAACACTTTGACAAATAAAATCTGTTCTCTATATTTGGTTTGAATTTTAATTGAAAGTGTGATTAAACACCGGAAAATATCTAAAAAGGTGAGTACTTTTTATATGAGGCAAAAACTACAGGGACAGAATTAGCTGTACTTTCAGAAATCAATGACGTAAAATTACCGGACAACGAAGTCAAATTCAAATGTGATGTGAAGTGATTAAAACCCGTAAAATACTGAACATCATTTGATTACATATACGTTAAAAAAAAACATTAAAACAAAATAACACCCGTTACGGGTTACGTGTATTCTTTTTACCTCATTATAATATTTTCTTATTCTCTATATTTTCATATGCCTAAATTGCATGTGTTACATTAAGTATCTTTCAAATGTTTCTCGCATAAATAAAAATTGAAGAATTTGAATTAATCATAAAGTTCAAAAATATTACGTACTGGTTTAGACGTTGTATTTAACAATATAATTTTACATTCGAACCCACGTAATTTGTTTCTCGTTTCTTTCTGTCAGCTGCCACATTTTATATCTTTTAATACGTGACGACACAGGTCCAAGAATATGTCAGCGTGATGTCTCTGGAAAACTAAAGCTGTTCGTAACCGAATCGCGAATTTGCCACAGGATCCACCGTATACACCTAAACAAACCAATATAAAAGAATAACCACATATCTTACAATCACAAGCCCTTTCAACGCTTCAAAAGATATTGAACAAAATCGTTTGAAACAACCTAAACGAACACTAATTTATTTATTTAAAAACAAATATATTAATAAGCGACTTTAAAATTTGTACTTTTTAAACATGTTATTTATTTATGTATAATAAGGACCTATACATTTTCTCAGAAACTGTAAGTTATGTCAGGAAAGTCTTTATAGAACAGAAAAACCTCCAATATCGTTTTCAAATCTCGTGGAGGTCCCTCTAAGGTCTCACGTGGTATTTTCAACTCAATCAAATCAATTTTCAACATCTGCGAGATTCCAGTCGAAATTCAACAAACTAACGAGAGATATTCAGGAATAATTTTTCAATACATTTTCCCATCTACTTACAGTGTTTGGGACCTCTAAATTAATCTCTCGCGTCAAGCTGCCGGACGACTTTCATGACAAATTCAAACCAATAGACTTTGTGACATTACAGAAAAACAAAAATTAAAAAAATACAAAATGTAATTGCGGCAACTTTACAGACATTTTCTGTCTCATACGATAAATTAGAAAGTAAATTTTAGTTTTGGGTTATTAATTTTAATATAATTTTTTAATTTTTATTATGCTTTTTTGCATAATGGCACGATGCTTATTATAATAAGATGCATTGTTAAGTTAAAAAAACATTTTTTACGACAAATTGACGACATAAAATCAACAATTCATGCATATCAAACAATCCAAATTTACAAATGGTAATGCTAACTGCCTAAACGTTCGTAATTGAAGTAAAATTTTTGGACTACTTAAAGGTACACGTAGCGTTTTAAACAAGACCAATTTATAAACTAGACAGAGCAACGTTTACTTATATTTACTAATATTTAATAAACATCTAAGTATAAGTATCTTCCCCACTAACCTAGATCGAACGTGTTTTTCAATTTTTAGGTATTGTGAAAAATTAGATTTTCACTTTTTTTGCACCAGATGCAGTGGCGTATAATTCTATATAAGCAAAAATTAATAAAACATTTTTATTTTATACGGCAATCATAGATGACTTTGTGGCCTTTCAAAAATGCGCCCGTTTGAGCCTCCTGTGTATGGTTGCTGGTATGTCATAAAAAATGATGGAAATATAACGTTTTTTTTGTTGATGTACAAGTATGCGGTGCATAGGATTATTTGTATAATAATTGTGTATACTCCCAGACAATGTGCGAATCATTAAAACTAAATTAACTTAAAATAACTGCGTCGCATATCAAAGTCAAGCTCACCTTTCTCCTTTAACCGTTTTAAAATATCATCCCTTAACTTTTCGCTCTCAGCGGTTATCGCTACGAAAGTACCCCTTCCCCTGGACGAATGCAATAACGGACTGAATTCCTTCTCTAATTCCTTTAGTCCATCGAGGAGGTATTTCCCCGTTTCACGCACATTCTTCAGTAAGTTTTCTTTGAAGATCACCTGAAGAATATTTTCTAGAAGAATCACTTTGCCAGGGTCTCCCATCCATGTATTGAAAGTTCTAAACGGTTGACCGACTCTGGAAAACGAAACTTTTATTTCAAAAAATGACCAACGTGTTTGTGTCCTTAACGCTCTCAGTTGAAAGTGGGTTCACCTAAATTCGTCAGTGTAGAAAAAGCCTCCAAGTTGCATTTTTTTACTAAAGGTCACTATGTCCGGTGGCAGTTCTAAATCGAAGTATTCGTGACACCAAAATTTGCCAGTTGGCCCGCCACCCGTTTGCACCTCATCAATTATTAGTGCTGCATCATTCTTTTTACATACTCTTTGCAGACGTTGGAAGAACTCCGACGATGCGTGATTATCGCCACCTTCTGACTGAATGGGTTCTATGATTACCTGTGGTCAAAAGTACTGTCTGAACCGCAAATAAAAAAATAAATAAACAAAAAGTATATACAGGTCCCAAAAAATGATGTAAAAGTTTATTAAACGAAACAAAACATAGTAAACAATAGCATAACAGCAAACAGGAGATTAAGGGAGTGGTTTCACAAAAATCACATATCGATTTGCTGGTGCGAACATCACTGATGAAAATTTTAAGTGTGTGGAGAACGCTGCAGTCACGGTTAATTTATAAGAGAAATGCCGTTCATCAATTTCCTGGGAACAATATCCAGAATTATAGAAAAAACTGAAGTGTCATGCATAAATCAGTGTTTAATTAAAAATAATTTCATTCTATCCAGACGGATTGGTTCTGTATATTTAATGATATGTTAATGCTATGTATATATTAATGATCTGCTCAAAACAAAAAAGCACAAATTAGAGTTTTTCTCGGGCTATTTTCAATAACTTTACTAGTTTTATAAATATTAATTTAATTTAATTTGATCGACTTTTAATAATCATTTTAACTTATATAGTCAGTCAAACTGTTATTTGTGAGAAATAAACGTGAATAATTCCCGTAAAGAAAAATGCTTTTCTGAATAATTATAATATATAATATAATAGTTAATCTGTTATTATTGTGAATTTTTTTTAAATTCTTTATATATTAGTTTTGTTCAAATTTGGGATTTTGAACTTGTATTTTCATATTGTTGCTGAGCATTACGATTTCCACATGAAGGCGAAAAGCTAAACTTCATTTAATAATCATTGGAGGTAACGGCCAAATACAAACAAAATATGGCACACACTACATAGTACTTACTCCAACAATGGGAACATTTTTTTTTCGCCACTCAGTGAACAGTTCTTCGACTTGTGCTAAGCATTTGCTGTCCTCGTCTCGATTTTCACGTTCATTGTCCTCCAACGGGTATTTGTAAGCAGGGAAGTGTGCCGCCGGCCAATCGAACGCCGGTATATCGATTTTTTGGATGAATTTGGATCTCGTGGTGGATAACGTGCCCAACGTGCGACCGTGAAATCCGTTGAAAAAAGACAATATCGCCAGCTTGGGGGATCCCGGTGGACGATTGAGCCCACACGACATCTCCTCCTCTTCCGTAAAATTGTCGTGACCCCTCTGTTTTCTTTGGTAAATCATAAAAGCGTGCTTAAAAGCATTTTCATTAGCGCAAGCGCCGCACATCATAGTGTTCAATTGTGTTAGACCGTGTGGTGCTACCTAAAATCATAAGGAAACAGATCCAAATGTTCACACACATTATTCATGAATCTGAATAAGCTAATTTTCAATTATTTTACTTAAATATCATATGATGTCTTTCAACTTTAATAAAAAGAAGTAACATTTTTATAAATTCTATGATCTTTTCACTCTTAGAGCTCAAAATTTTAAGGCTGATTCTATTTTTACAATGACACTAAACTAAAATAATATATGTACAAAAATTAAAAATCTAAGTTAAAACAGATAATGATGAATTGGATAGAAGAGAGTTGTCACTGGAACTTTCATGGTACACTTTGTGAAGTATATGTTGGTAAGATGTGCAAGGGACTATTCATAGATGAATATATGGCAAATTGATTTGAATAGTTTTAGTAATACTAGATCTAGCATGAATTCAAAACAGTCTCAATTTTATGGGGTAGAATATGATAAAAAAATTCAAACCATTACCAATTAGTATTTCGACTAATTTCGAAACCTAAGCGTACAAATTTTGAATTTAACATTTTTAGAAATTATGGTAATTTTTAGCAAATTAAACATTATTATAATAATTTTTTATTATGATTTACAGTCTGACCTTTTACACTACAACACCTTATATAAAGAATTATTTAAAAGACCAGCAAGTATATTAAATACAGTTTTTCAAAAGCAAAAATTGGATCACAAATTTTACCTTCTAAAAAGTTGTTTTATATCAGTTTAGAATACTAGCTCGCACTACTCAATATGTCAAAATTTAAAATATCTGCCCACCAATTGAGGGTAGGTGAGAACTTTAAAAATGGGACACATGAAAAGTTAAATTGAGTTGCCGAACTTACCATTTTTATAATATTTAGCATTCTTTGGGTCCAGTCTTCCCCGGGAAATACGCCCAAAGCAGGTCTATTTATCAACGATTTCTACAAAAGAAAACAAATACCCATTTGCCCGAAATGGCGTCTAAATGCCTCACCAAGTTATGTTCATTATCGAAACTTCGAAGCAAATCTGGGTGGTTATATCCCAAAGGTATCGTGGAGATCTGGGTATAGGTGTCGAGGAAAATATTGTCGTCGACGTCAACAAGATAATTTCCGATCGATTTATCATAGTTTACAAAGATTTGTACTGACCCTGCTTGCTGCAATAGAAACGATTAAGTTAGAAATTCCGCAATCGCTCGTCTTTACGGTGATGACTTTGACTACTGAAAATCTGTGAGCGTGTGCGTATCAGTGTTCTTTATGTTCAAAAAAAGTTGAAACTCAAAAGCAACCCTATAGAACGTTTCGTGTATTAGGATTACGTTATCCGTGAACATATTGAAAGTGCTAATAAAGAGCAGCCTCTAAAATTTCTCAACAACAGTGTCGTTTAAGTATTTTCTTTCTTAGCAAAGTTCTTCAAGTTGTAATTGACGGTGCTATAAGTGGAGTTCTGCAGGGGCCCTCATATATTTTCCATTTCAATTAATGCTACAATTAGTAGCATATTTGGAAAATTATTACAATGTGTAGATGATGTGAAAATATTTTTTGAGTTGTCCGTAATCAAGATGAGTGCTGTCTTCTTCAAAAGGATTTTCAAATTGTTAACTCTTGGTGTAAACACAACGGGTTGCCATTGAATATTGACAAATGTTGTTCTGTTAGCTTTTCGATCAGGGTTGTTTCGGAGTGTTATTTGATTATCAGCTTTGCTGACCGTTTCATTCAAACTTGTAACAATGTATCGAAAATGATTTATATTTCGGAATGCTAGTGAGTTTACAAGGGAACAAGTACTAAGGGCACTCTACTTCAGTTACGTTTGGTCTAAGCTGGACTATGGGGCCATTATATACCGCACCGGTTTGGGAACAATCCGATGTTTTCACTCACTCGTTTATTAACCAAAAAAAAGCTTTAAAATAATTTTTCTACTCCCGTCTGTAAAATACCTAATTATACACCGATCTAGCATGCTTCAAGCGTCACTTTATCACGTCAGTTTCGTTTCCCATTCGAGCCACTTCGGACATTTCCGAGGGTTTACCGCACGGCTTTGGGAGCCTTGAATTTTGACGTTTGTCAATTCTGACAGTCATGTCAGTGAATTTATTCGTGTTGTTTTGCGAAAATGTACCCAAAAACTAACGAACGTAGAAAAAGTATAGTATATAACACGTTCGGTAAACTTTTTAAGTCACTCGTTTATCAAAAACTTGTGAGTCAAATATCGTTTACCGCACCTGTTGCATAATATACTATAGCATTTAAGTGTGATGGTATATTTCCACAAAGGGCGCTGGACATAATGTTTGGTTATGGCGATTCGAAATACCGGCTTACATTAATCCCATTAACTTGTGCATGAGTTCAATTTTTATTAAAATTATGTAGATCTCTTATAGACTGCTCTGAATTTTTATCGTAGATAGGGTTACACAGTCCTTCGCGGTCAGTCAGACACCTCCAATATTGCACCTACCAACTCCCACCACAAACATTTTGGTTGACGTCCCCTCTTTCAAACAATGAATATTTTTAATTGTATTTGTAGCGATATAGATGTTAATAGTCATCACCGATTTAGTTTACTTTAGCATTACAAGATAGATTATTACATTTCGGGTGATTATTGTAGATACCATGACTTTTTTTTGGTCGTGAGTTATTTCTTAAAATACACATTTCTTTAATTGATTGTTTCTTTTAGTGTTAACTAGCTAAAGTAAAACATCCTTTAACCACAGTTTTCAGCATTAATACTTCAATAAAATAAGCTTGCTTTCCACATTCTTAATGGCATAAAAATTCATTTGATTTTCATATTGAAAATATTGCAAATTCCGGTACCCCCGCTTTCTGACAGCTTCTCAAATAAGAAAAAACGAATTTTATTACAACTTTTTACATAGAACCCACTCGTGTAGTTTTTCTTAAGGATTATTATTTTAATATAAATATATATAAATATCAATTTTCATAATTTTCATTCTAAGCTTTGCAGTGCGCCAGGCAAAACAATGTTAATTTAGGTTTAAGTCAGTTACACTATACATTTTAAGAAATTAAGCAAATTAATCTCCGGAGTATCATCCAGCAAGTTATGCAAAATTGTCTCTGAAATTCTAGTATCTCCTTCAAATATTTTCTTTTCAAAATCTCTAATCCATTAATCGGCCAATTTAAATTACTATTTTTCTAATTAAATCTAAATCAAAATTAATTCAAGAAATATCGGACACAGAAAATGACTCACCTGTATTTTTTGTAATTCTTCAATTAAGTGCTTGGACTTTGGACCGGGAACTGGGGTCTTGATACACGGTCCCTTAGGTTCGCCGGGAACCAAGGAACACGTAAAACGTACCTGTCGAAGTGAAACTGACCACTCTGGAAAATATACATGTCAACCACGTTTCTACACTGAAATATAAATTACATACAGCTTCGTTAAGAACTTACCTGATTGAACCACTAACACTCCGTAATTTCTGTTCAACCCCCTTATACACCTGGACAACATATTAGATGAGTTTTAATTTATACAATTTAGCGATCGCCTTTAGTAGAGGCGAATCCTGTCTTCCAGTGTAGAATATTGATCGCCGGTAGCTGCGCATAAGACCGCAATTTTGCCCCACACTCATTCGAAATTTGATTAAAAAAAAAACTATTTAGGCATTGAGTCAGTTTGACAAAAATGCTACACAACAAGCGTCAAATTTACTTATAAAGATAAAAAATAGAGTTCATTATTTTTTGCATTTGGTGCAAGAATATTTCATAACTTTTTATTTTCCTTTAATGTATAACATATTTCTCATTACTTAAAGTTACAATTTAGTTTCGCTAAATTAACGGAATATTTATATAACAAAAGTTCTTTGGAAGTCGTTGATGACAGAATTCCAAGAAGCAACAAAAAATAAGTAAATTTTTCTTAGCTAAATTGACGTCCGAAGTATTCAACTCGATCATTAAGTATGTAACATAACTTTAAAGGAATCATTTCCTAATTTAGAGAAGATCATATAAATTTGCGTCAGCAAGGTTATCCACACCTTTCAGTTTTCCTTTTAAATGCTTAAAAGTTATTAATAAAAAAATTATTAAATAAACTGAGACTATAAAAGTATGTTTTACGAAATTTTTGGAATTTTACAAATATTAAATTTTGGTGTTTTTTCATTTTTATAAGGTGCGCGAAAAGCGACCTCGGTAAGTATTCGTAATTGTCATCTGATTTCAAAATTTCAAAACCTAAGATCATTTCTTTTTATTTGTTTTAATTCAACTATAGCATTTTTTGTATTCAGAATTACGAATTCTCCGTTGCGATAGAAATGAAGTTGGTTGGTATATCGATTAAGGCTAGTACCAGTTAAATGTGGAAAAAAGTTGTCAACTTAAAATACAAGATAATTTGTAATTTCAAAATTTACCCTGTTAAATATGTGGATATCGGCTGACAAGGAGAAACAATTGAAGTTCTAGAAAAAATCGTTTTTGGTATTCGTTAATTTTAATAAATAGAACCGGAAAAAATAGTGGGTTTGATTTTTGATTACTACATTCATTTTGAATTTTCGGTTTCATTTCAAGTGACAAATGGTGATATTTCATATTATTTCAAAGTCCACATACGTGTAATTGTTTATGTAATTGTAATGGTAATGCTAATTATAAATTAATTTGTTTTATATTCAAATGGAAAACGAACCATATTTATTTCAATATCTGCTGAAATTGATATTGTTCATACCGTGGTGCTGGTAGGCCGAGCCAAAGCAACGTATCCCAGGTATTGAACATATTTTAAATGTTATAGACGAATATCCTTTTAGTATGATGAAAAATAATGAGGTATTTATTTTATTTAAAGTCTTTATTATAAGTCTACAAAAGCTTATTGGGACACTATTTCATATTTTCTAAGCCTGAAAATAAATTATGAAGCCTTTGTAGCCGATTGTTTTCCACTATTCTTACAATCAGGCAATTCTATTTTTCAATTTTTGAGAGGCATAGGTAGAAATTATTTAGATATAATTATTTATTTTTAAATAAACCTGTTCAATGTCAAATGAGTGAAATAACTGAGTGTTGTGCGTAAACGCTTGAATGAAACCGGTCACACTCATTCTAAATAGATCTGCTGTGTAATACAGAAAGAAAATTGGCCCCAAGACCGACCCCTGAAACACGCCTGATATTAACTATATAGGACACTGCTTTTAAGTGCGGTTGAACAGGTAAGATTGGAAAAATGAAACTCGAACCCATGGTAACCGAGTTTGGCACAAGTAGTTCATGGTCTAAGGTATCGAACGCTAACAATCGAGCAATACTAAAGTCATTCCACATTGTCTAGCGCCTATATAATTGCACTGGTAATATTGTCAAAGGTTGAAGTAGTACTGTGATTATTGCAAAACCCGAATAGCCCAGGATTTAACAATCTGGAGCATTTTACACAAAATACGTATATCCACATTAGTTCCAGCGCTTGCAGTTTCCAAATACTTTCAGATGCTGCTTAAATGTAATGCACACCCTGAAAATACTAAAATAATAAATATTCTCCACTCCACGGACGGCCCTAAATTAAAAATAAATAAATACTGTAATAAGTAATATCTGTGATCGGGGTGTTTGAAATAAAACGCTAATTTATTATTTAGAATGCCAATTACAATTTAAAATCTAAATAAAATTTCGTTATTTATCTTTAATACTTTTTTTACAAGCTGATGTGTTCAGTTATTATTTAGCTTTTTATATTGTTATTATGTTTTTCTACTCCCGTCTGTAAAATACCTAATTACCTATCGATTACCGTCACTTTACCACGTCAGTTTCGTTTCCCATGAATCCGAGCCACTTCGGACATTTCCGGGATTTTACAGCACAGGTTTGGGAGCAATCGGATGTTTTCGAAGATATTTACCATGCTTTGAATTTTGACGTTTGTCAATTCTGACAGTCATGTCACTGAATGTAATCGTGTTGTTTTGCTAAAATGTACTCAACAACTAACGGTCGTAGAAAAAGTATAGTATGCAACACGTTCGGTAAACTCTTTAACTCGCTCGTTTATTAAAAACTCGCTCCGCTTGTGTCAATAAACGAGTGACTTAGAGTATATTATGCAACAAGTGCGGTAAATGGCATGTTCATTTGACACAAGCGGAGCGAGTTTTTAATAAACTCGCACTTGTTGCATAATATACAATTATCGTTCCAGTTTTGACAGTTTTAGAGACTTTTAAGCGTTCCGGTACTTTTTACTGATCCTACTGTAGTAATAGTTCATAGAATTAATCAATTCTATTAATTTCTCTTATCTATAGGCAATTAATAACGACAGTTCAACTTCCTCCTCTTTTCGCCGTTTAACAACATGATTAACTGAGGACGCTCGCCAATAATCGACAGCAGCCAAGGAAATATTTATTTCTGTAACAGCTTGACACCTATAATATTAATAAGAATGAATATTAATGAATAGATTCTAATTGACGGTATGTTAGGAATTTATAATATAATTTTTTTCAATTATATCTAACACGAAAACTAAAAGAAAGGTTAGTTTTCTATTGGATTTTGGGGATGCCAAAGATGCCAAAATAATACGAATTTAAAAATTAAAATCAAATATTTTTTGTATGATATATGCAATTATACTGTTTTAAAAAACAAAACAGCCCTAAAAATGCTAAAAATGTATACGTTTGAAGTATACGAGTATACGAGTATCAAGTATCATCCTTATCTATGGTTGATGCAGTGAACTTTGTGTTTTTATTCTGTAATGTCTAATGCAATTAGAGAAAATGTCACATAAATTCCTAGCAAGAGTATTCCGCACGGTGTTAGTTTTCTGTTAGATCGTGTGTTTCCTCTATTCTTGGGTTTTCTCGACTTATTTTGGTGTGCTAAAATATTTAACATGAACATTCACCCTGGCATCTGTTCCATATGTAAAAAGTACACGTCTGTGGGACCCATAAAGATTTATGAATCTGGGAAGAAAATATGTGGACGTTGTAATGAAGGAGTTGAAAATGAAGTTTACAGTTTGCACCCCATTCCGGCAGATCAAGAATTTCCATGTGTAAATTATTATGAAGGTTGTAGAAAATATTTTCGTTCTGATCAAATCAAACACCATGAAAGCAAGTGTATTGGAAGTTTGATTGACTGCCCAATGTGTCCAAAGTATAATGGCATAACAAAATATACATTGTTGATGCTTATTGACCATTACAACATGTACCACCCTGAATTAATTTTGAAATATAGTGATAGTTTTTCTATTGAACTGGAAGAACACTGTGAAGGTCATATTATGTATTTTCAGAGGAATTTGAACATGTTGTTTTCTATTTATTTTTGTTACTACAATCATAAGCTTTTATTGAACACATCAATTTTTAGTTATCGAATTAATAATATTAAACAGGCAACGTCAATCGATTTTATAGGTAGCAGATTTTGTTTACCTGTAGGTAAACCTTCTGAGAAATTCCTTTTGTCCGTTCCTTTAGAGTTGAGAGGAAAATTACATGTTGATTTGATGTTTAAAGATAACACATTGATATTTAATGTACCATGGACTTTGGGAAAGGCAAAATTTTTAGCAGATTGTGGTTTGACAACTGTTCGTGACATTTTTATTTCTTTACCCAAAGTAGGATGTTCAGCACCTACCAGTCATTCAAGTTCAAGAAGTGAAATGGACGAAAGGCATTTTTCAATGGTAGCTCTTTCAAATAAAATTAAATGCTGTTGGTGCGAAAACCATCTTGATAAAGTCTATAATTGTATCCATTACAAATCTTTTTGTGAATATTGTTCAATGCATAAAGGATGTGAAAAGTGCCATTCAAAAGAAGATGTGTTTTCTCACTCCAAGAGGATATATTATTATTGCAGATATAAATGTAAGTTGTTTTTCAGTGGTGCAGATTTATATTCGCATGAGCAACAGTGTAAAATGAACCCGTGCTCTGCTCTGTCCAATGTTCAATATGTAAAGTCTCTATTTTGTTTGCCGGAAAATAAGAAATTTAACTGCACAGTGGGAAATAAATTTTTTCATACCAAGAGATGGTGGGGTGTAGAAGAAAGATATATGGTTAATTTTGAGGGGCAGAAATGTGTTATTCGGTGTGGGCCAGGTGTTATAGGGAGATATCATTTCTTGGTTTCACACCAGTATGATCCCTCAATGTATTACTTTTTAATCAGGGTCTCTGATTCAAAAAATAATACACATTGGGAAGGAATTAATTCTTGTGTAATTGAGTATGATAATATATCTAAATATTATAGAAATGCCATTTATTATGTTGTAATACTGTTTAGACAAATTAAATAATTTATGATAAGAACCCCATTTATTTGTGTCTATAATAATTATTCCAGTTTATACTAAATTTTATATGTGTAATAAATAAATAAATAAATATCTATTTAAAAATCTATAATTATACATTTTTTTATATTCCAGTTTGATTTGATTATTCCTTTTGAAATGGCGAATATTCGATAAGTTTTGCAACAGTATTTGTCTAAATAATTCATTTATTGATTCAATATTTATGGCAAGATCTTTCGAGTAGCACAAGCTAACAAATAGGTATAACACTCTAACTCTCTCATTAACTTGCTCAGAATAGATTAGAGGTCTGTGGCATT